CCGGGAAGGAAGCTTGTACGCTGCAAAGTTCCACCTATTCTTTTCCAACACGTACACAAACAGATCTCCTCCGTCTTGGCTCCGCGGATGCTCTCCAGGAGTATGTGTCGCTGCTATTCGAGTGATACGCTACAGCACAGCAGCATGGTGCAAAGCAAGGCAATGCAACACGTCGGTTGGCAACCAGCCACTCGATACCATCATTTGCGTAGCTCGCATCCACTCTTCGCGCAGTTTTCGCACCGAGAGAAATGCGTGCACGGCTTTGCAAGATACTTCAACGTCGTTTGCGGACCACCACAGTGCCAACATGCCCCGGATACCAGCTCATGCTAGAGAAGCAGTGGACTCAGCTCTCTCAAGCGGAAGGAGACAATCACACGGCGATGAATCAATCACGCCGATGACGAGTCTACTTGCTCGCAACGCCAATGGGAAGGAAGCTTGTTCGCTATAAAGTTTCCACCTCTTTTTTCCAACACGTACACAAACAGATCTCCTCGTATTGGCGCCGCTGATGCTCTCCAGGAGTTCGTGTCGCTGCTGCTCGAGTGATACGCTACAGCACAGTAGCGTGGTGCAAAGCAAGGCAATGCCACTCGAGACCATCATTTACGTAGCTAGCATCCACACTTCACGCAGTTCTATGCAGAGAAGTCGTGGCCTGAGCTCTCAAGCGGACAAAGACAATCATAGCAATGAAACAATCACACGGCGATGAAGAGTTACTTGCTTGCAACGCCACCGGGAAAGAAGCTTGTGCACTCGAAAGCCTCCACCTATTCTTTTCCAACACGTACACAAACAGATCTCCTCAGGCTTGGTGCCGCGGATGCTATTAATGACTTCGTGTCCGCTGCTCGAGTGAATACGCTACACCACAGCAGCGTGGTGCATAGCAAGGCAATGCAACGTCGGTTATCAACCGGCCACTCGAGACCATCATTTACGTAGCTCGCATCCACACTTCACGCAGTTTTCGCACCAAGAGAAATACGCGCACGGCTTTGCAAGATACTTCAATGTCGTTTGCGGACCACCACAGTGGCAACGTGTTCCGGATGCCATCTCAAGCTAGAGAAGTAGTGGCCTCCGCTCTCTCAAGCGAGATGGAGGCGATCCTAGCGATGAGACAATCTTGGCGATAATGAGTGGGTCGCTCGTAACGCCACCGAAGCGAAGCTAGTACCCTGCAGAGTTTCCACCCATTCTTTTCCAACACGTACACAAACAGATCTCCTCGTCTTGGCGCCGCGGATGCTCTCCAGGAGTTCGTGTCGCTGTTGCTTGAGTGATACGGTTAAGTTAAGTCAAACAAAGAGACAGTAGTTAAAAGACTTAATTATATTAATATAACAGTTCTGCTTTTACCTTATCTACGCTTCCTCGCTTGCCTTGTGTACGTCTGTCGGGGCACCCAAGCCCTTGCGTTAAGTTCACGCAAGGGTGTGCCCCGTTACATTGTTGGTCTTTGTCTAGAGACTCTAACATGGCGCTAATGGCGAACTCGCCTACGGTAGAACTCATTCGTCCTACCGCACCCCATTCGATGTCACTCAAATGGGTAAACCCTTCACGCGTGGCGTGAAAGGTTTCTTCGTCATCCAACATGTTCATGTTGGATGCTGTGGTCCTTGGAAGGACTACAAAGTGCTACCAGGTGTAACGGGGCACACCCTTGCGTGAACTTAACACAAGGGCTCGGGTGCCCCGACAGACGTACACGAGGCAAACGAGGAAGCGTAGAATAAGGTAAAAGCAGAACCGTTATATTAATATAATTAAGTCTTTTATCCACTGTCTCTCTCTTTGACTTAACTTAATTATACTAATACAACTGAGTGTATGGTGACGTCTCGTCACCACTCATTGCGCGCGTCTTGCGGCGATTGGTGGGTTGATATCATCAAGATATCAACCAATGAACAGACTCTTTGGTCGACCCTTCAATATCACCACTTTGGTGATACTGTTCAAAAAATATTCAACTTCATATTCTTTATTGTCATTGTTTCTTTAATGACAATTCCATGAAACGGGCTGCCCCGTTACAGCAGAGGCATACCAGACCATATACGTCACACGAAGTGTTAGCTGAGTCGCTTCTCCACTGTTGCTCGCTACAATGTACCACGGATCAGCTACGCACAAATGTAAGCGGGTGAACCCAGTAGTCCCAGCTGGTCTCGACGTGTCGACTTTCTTGAGTTTGTTGTGGGCACACACGGCACTCGTACACAGAACGAGATAGCCGATCGTAATGCCTGCATTCGCGTTGCACCTCAAGCTCCTTGCCGAGTGATGCATAGATAGGTAACCGGATACCTTCATGAACGTACATTTGTGGTGTAAAGCCGACAGAGACGTCGATGTGTATGTGGGATTGGCAGCTGATCTCAAGACACGTTGTATCTTACGATTCCGCCTTGAGATTGTACAGTGCACGATCGTTGCATTTGTATCGTCGATCGGGGCGTCGTGTGTGCGGATCAACGACAAAGTCGAGCGGTGAACGCTGTACGAGTCGCAACATTCTGCTGCAACATCAATTGCTCCTGCAATGGCTTGCTCTAGCTTAACACGCATGAAGCAATGCCTTGCAGTGTACTATCGTCATATCCATCGAGCGTACTTGGTCGAGAAGTTACGCAGCTGATTGGCCTCGACGGATACTTTACGGACTGCAGAGATACGAACGTTGGCCATGACTGCAACAACACGGAGGAGACAGAGATGCACGTGCCCACTGGGATTGTTGTCGTGTTTTTTCGGGCGTCGTCGTTAAGAAGTGAGGCGGTTGCATGGTCCAGCTTTGATACAACCTTCGTTTTCGTGATATCGAGCTTCTGTCGCCCCCGTCATCGCGAGGCCATATCGTCCTTGTCTACCACCTTCCTTTTCACGTAGCAGTAAGTCGGAAGTCACGCCACTTTCTGTCCGCTCATCTTCGTAGCTTGCCGAGCATCCGATCGCCTCAACACATTTCCCCACGTTGACGGCCACACGGTCCAGACGCTCTTTGACTACGAAGCATGTAGATACGACGCACAAAAGCCAGTCAAGGCGCAGACGTTGAGCTGAGTGCTGGAGCGTTCACGTAGTCAGCTAAATATCGTGACAATTCTTGAGCATGTCTAGAGACATCGTAGTACAAGAGGAGGATGGAGCCCCGATTTTTTGCGAAGATGCGTGTGAGATAGAGCCTGACGATGCAGCAGGTTGAGCAAAGTGCAGCTTCTAAGTGCTGTGGTGACGAACGTATGCCACATCTGTACGAGATCTCAGCAGTATAGTCGAACCTATTTGTCTGCCAACGCGACAAGATTTCTGCTGTGAGCGTGTTGTTGCTTGAACTTGGGTATCTCCGCTAAGGACAAGCATAGCGTTACGCACGCTCCACGACGGGTCCTTATTCTATCTGCAAAGACGTGACAACCCGCTGCAGAAAAAGTGGCGTTTCTAACGCGCTCTGTCGACAGAAGGCACAACAAGGTGACAAGTGTCGTTATGACGATGTGCAGGGCTGGGGTTTCCTCCGATGGACTGGCTGTCTGTGTCTTTTGTTAATAGAAACCCCGATCGTCCAGATATCTGAAGCTGAACACGATCGTATACTTCTTCGCGACTCGTCGGTCGGTCGTCAACACACCACCCCATGCCGGAAGTAGAAGCCCACGTTTCGACTGCAATCGCGCGATCAAGGGAATAAAACCTCAAGGTCTGGTATCTTACCACCGCCCGTTTTGACACCCAGGCCATCCGAATATAAAACAGCCGCTGACGTGCGACCCGTCGGCACTACGACAGCGCATGTCCTATCTATGCCGTTTTATAGGTTCGTGACGTCCCGCGCCCCGCTGGCTCCTTCAGTCTCCATAAACACGCGGAGCAGCAGACGCCCGTCGCGACGACTGCGGACAGTGTATCATGACAGATGTGGCGCTATCGGACGCACAGGACAAGCGACCGACAAGAGCGGCAGCAGAGGGACACGAAGACGACGCGAGTTGCCGAGTGGAGGCGATAAGTCCCACGACAGTTGGAGAGACTGTGATAATTACGACAGTTGAAGAGCACCCTGGACGTGAGGGTTGGGGTGGGGTTCAGGTGACGACAGTTGGAGAGAGGGTGACGACAGTTGGCGAGCATCAGGTATCCGGGGGATGCGATGCTGCTGGTGTCGATACAGTTGGAGAGAGTGGGATGGAGACGACAGTTGGAGAGCATCAGGTATCCGAGGGGCTGGTGGATGCGGCTGCTAGCGTCCGTATCAGTGCAGCGACTGTCGAGTCGATCAGTGAGACGATCGCAGCGAGTGCGAGTGCGCACGTGGACGTGGACGATTCGGTGGCTGCGACGTTGGCGAGTTCTGTGGACAGAGAGAGTTTGGAGACGGACGATCGAGCTGGGGAAGAGAGTGAAGCAGCCAAGTATAGCGTTGCTGTGTACGCGATGGATGAAAGTACGGAGATGCAGGAGGACGACGGTAGTGAGCAAGTGGTTGAGGCGAAGAGACTCTTGGAACACGAAGGTGCTGAGAGTGCGACGACGACGACGACGGCGACGGCTGAATTGATTGCGGTGGTAGATGAACAGACTGCTGACGTGACTTGTGAGAAAGAAAGTGCACAAGAAAACGAGATCACGAAACACGAAGCAGCTGGTGATTTGGATAGTGCACGGCCTGTATGTGCCGGTGCCGATGACACGACGTTGATCGGAATCGAAACGGAGGCTTGCAAACAAGCGTCGGTTCCTTCTGCAGACGTGACTGAAGCCGACGAGCCGATACAGAGCTCTGTGCGTTCGAAAAAGACGTCGCCAACGCGGCTGTCGTCCATGATATCGCGCTTGGCTAGCAAAGTCACGACAAAGAAAGAGGTCCAATGCGCCGATCCGGCAGTAGAGCTAGAGCTGAATGCATCCTTGCCGGTCGAGAGCATCGTGCATGAATTTGAAGCTCATGAACCAGTGTCGCCGCAAACTCACCGTACGCTGTCGGCTGCACAATTGGACGCCAGTGGATCGTTACCGGTAAAGAACGTGGTGCACCGCCTTGAAGCGCATGATGAAGAAGAGAACGCCTTGGAGAGTCTCAAGATTCGAACGAAACGCGATTTTTTCTCGGAGAAAGGACGAAGTATATCTGTCAGCCATGAAGCGGAGAAATACAATTCGCAGATGGTGCAGCGTGCGAAGGAAGAAGTGGAAGCAAAGGATCCACTCAAGTCACCTGCTATGAAGCAAAGCCCAGCGTCCAGAAAGAGCTCTGCAATGTCGAGCGTGCGGAATATGGCCAGTCGCTTTGAGAAGAAGGCAGACCAGTCGCTGGATAAGCTTTCGTTTCGCACGGTTCGTAGCTTCTTTCCTACTGAAAAGAGCATTCACGTTGGTGCGGAGAAGCAGAAATACGAAGCACTGGAAAAGGAGAAACAAACGGCCAAGAAAGCCGAAGAAACGGGTGTGAAACGTATGGCCACGGATGAAGTCCACAAGTCTCGAAAGCAAAGTCCGAACGAGATTGCGACGGACGAGCATCTCGCAGCGGAAGCAGCTGGGCAGGGGACACCTGTCACGGTTGACACGTCTAGCTCACCGACTGAACCTGATAAGACGGCCGTCAGTAGGGCTGGTCCTACTCCGGAGGCCCACTCTCGCCGTCGCACGATCACTGCAGCCGACAGTTCGGGTGTCCGAGGTATAGCTCATCGCTTCGAGACGAAGCGTGCAAACTCAGTTGTCACCGCTCCCGTGCGCACCATTGACACTTTCATCGTCGCAGATAGCGAGGCTAGTGTTCGTGTGTCTGCGGAGAAGGCCAGATATGAGAATCAGGTCAAGACATCAGCTCCTACTAAGCGAACCATTGATACTTTCATTGTCCCCACGAGTGAAGCCAGCGTTCGCGTATCCGCGGAAAAGGCGAAACTTGAAACGCTAGAAAAACCGGTCAAGGCTATCAAGCGGACAATCGATGCTTTCATCGTCCCCGAGAGCGAAGCAAGTGTTTGTGTATCGGCTGAGAAGGCAAAGTACGAGATGCCAGGAAAACAAACCAAAGCGACTGTACGAACGATTGACAATTTCATTGTGCCAGAGAACGAAGCAAGTGTCCGTGTGTCCGCAGAAAAGGCTAAGCTTGAGGCCCCTGACAAGCTCGTCAAGGCGGCAGGTGTCCGTACCATCGACACTTACATTGTACCAGAAAGTGACGCAAGCGTCCATGTATCCGCTGAGAAGGCAAAGTTTGAGTCAATGGAACAGCGAATGCAAGCTGCTAGTCCTGCCGTTCGGACGATCGATACCTTTATCGTACCGGAGAGTGAGGTGAGTATCCGCGTCGCGACTGAGAAGGCGAAATTGGAGGCGATAGAAAAGCAAAAGAAGAGCGAGCTTGAGACACAAGCGGTGATCGAGAAACAGAAACTGATGAGAGTAACGTCGTGGGCATTGGAGAGAGCTGAATCGAAGAAGGCCAGCCATTCAGCTGATATTGAGGCTGTCGGTGACAGCACGGTGGTCCATCAGACAAAAGAGACTGAGGCGGCCAAAGAGATGGAAATGGAATCCGAAGCTGATGAGAGGAAGGATATCGAGGCGACAAAGGTGACTAAGGAGGGGGCTGAAGGAGTCGTTGATGTCGATGAGAGCGAGAGTGCCAAGGAGCTTGTGTCCAAGGACTCTAGTCTGGACTCGGAAGATGAAGCAACCAGAGGGGCGGAGGTGACTTCACCGATCGAGGTTGTCTCAGACACTGAGGTGAGCTCATGGACTGATGTGGCTGCGGAATCTGAGATGATGAAGAAGGGTGGGGAACAACTCAGTGTGGCCGAAGATACCGAAGTGGCCGTGATTGAGAAAATGGACGATACCGACTTGATCAAGGAAATTGGTGTTGCATCGGACACCAATGACGCAGAAAATGTGGCGAGTGATGCCGAAGTGACAGGGGCAGACGAAAAGGCAGAAGAGGCTTCGAAGGTCGAGGAGGCCAAGATGGGTGATGTGGAGACGGCCGAGATCGGAGAGACGAAGGCTGAAGAGGCCGAGGAAGCCGCAAAGATGGAGGAGATGACGGAAGGGACCGATCTACTCGAAGTGGCAACGAAAGTGGAGGAAACTGAGATTACTGACGTGGACGAGGAGACGGCTGTGCGTGTGGAGTTGGAGGCACCAGAAGCTGCCAAGGTGGAAGCGGCTGCAGACATCGATGTCGCTTTGAAAACTGAAGTCAAGCAGGCTGAGGCCAAGGAGACCGAAGTCAAGCAGACTGAGAGTAAGAAGACTGTAGTCACTGAGGAGGTCGTGAGGAAGACCGATGTGACCGAAGTGACCGAGAGCACGGACCACACGGAGGAGGCTGCCGCGGTGTTCGAGACGGTTTCGAAAGACGAGGTCGAACAGACGGAGGTGGTCACTGACCGGAAAACTGAGACAGAAACAGTGGAAATATCGGAGGCATTTGACACTACGGAGGAGGCCGAGAAAGGGACAACGAGCAGCAGTGTGAAGGAAGTAGAGGTGGCTCTCACTTTTATTAACGAGGCCCGTGCGACAGCGGAACCAGATGACGTTGTGCACTTGAACGAGGATGACGGGTGCGCTCAAGTAGGTGAAGAGGTCGAAGAGATGGTGACAAGTGCAAAAGAAGAAGAGTCGGAAGAAGTGGCGACGAACGAGGTGGGTGAGACTGCCGAGGCGGATAAGGTTATCCAAGAGGCGACGATCGAGGAGGTGCAACAGGTGCGCTTCACGCGGGACTCAGCGGTACAAGTCGTTGTGGAGCGACAGACGTTTGGTGACATGCTCTCGACAGCTCAGCACGCGCACTGGTTGTCGCTGCCAGTGAGCGCCAACCCCGCTCTAGCCCGCCTCCACTCCGTGCTGAGTGACCACGATCTGCTGACGGCCTACGCGCTGTATCCGAGCAATTCGTCATCGTCCTCTGGATCGGACGAAGATGAGTCGTTGCCTCACATCCCGACGTCGAAGCCGTTTGCAGCGACATGATGTGGCAGCGACGATGCGTCTGTGTAGATACTGCGACATACGTGAAACATTACAGTGCCATTGCCACCTGATGCTAGGACGTGGTAGGTGTAAGGCGTTATGCTTTATCACCTTGTACATAAGCTGGAACGGATTGGCCATTTCATGTCACCAGCTTCTTCTCTTGCGTTTGATAGTATCTTATATGCGATGATGGGTTTGCAACGTACGACATGAAAGTAAGGAGTGCTGCCCGAAAGAACTAGCAGACACTATCAGTGCTGCAAACTCTGTCGTCCTGCTCTGAAAAGCTGATGGCAGCTAGGAAAAAGATAGATAGATACCCGCCACTGATGTACTTTGTAACGAGCAACACAGTGGTAGGACTTGACACGAAAACCCCGTCGATCTACATATTCGTGTCGTTGACATCAGTCTGATTGACCATGGCGATACGAATATCGACACGCAGGTGCAAGCTTCATGTCCAGTACAGCGATCACACCTTTACCGACTCTTGCTCCGGCCGATCTCATACTTTCGTGTCAAGCGACTAAAGATCATCTGCGCCACTTGTTGCAACCCAAATTTCCTGACAAGTAAAATCTATCGAGTGTTCGCGTCCAAGTTGGCTGTACGAGAGCATGTTAGTGGCACTGGGAGTAACCATGAAGATGTGGTAATCATGGAGATGGGGTGGGTGATCGAACTGATTGGACCCGTCCAGGACATATTTCGACCCTGATTCTTTTCACGCAGCAAGTCAGATGCACAACCCAACATGTCGCATAGGCAAACACCACAAGCCGAATTGCAGCGAGTTTCTATGCACAACCGGACATTCCCAGCAAACAATCAGACAGCGCATATACTATCCTTTGCAAGCACATCGTCAAGCGTTGCCCTCTTGTTTTCTTTACGACGTGACGAAACCTAGCTAGATGACAAGTTCCAGGTACGTGCGGTTGTACGCATTCACACCGTCGTCCTCGAGCATCGGATAAGCAGGCGTCAAACCATCCTGCGCGTACATGTACAGCGAGTTGTAGATCTTCCAGTACACTTCGCGCACGCGACGCGCCGGGTGAAATAGACCTTGTAAAACATACTGCAAGATCACGTGCGGACCTAGCGCCACGCGACAGCCTTCCACAGCTTCAAACACGGCGTTGATCACATGCGGAGACGTCTCGAAAATGTTGGGCCATACAAAGTTCAGCAGGTGCACCAGCGCATCCTCGCAGCCCAAACCAGTTACACCCAGCGCCAAATGTTTCACCGTTGTGCACGCGGTCTGGCGATGCACCAGGTCACGGTCCATTAGCGCGTCTTGCAACAGCGGTGCCACCGCGTAGATATAGTCCTTGCCCATCTCGCCGATGTACTCGAACATGAACGAGAATGCCTTCAGCACGCCATTCTGCACGTTCAACTCTGGCACGCGGTACTCGTTCATCAAAGCTGGAACGACAGTGAACGGTGAGCACGTCTCAGCGACGATAGCAATGGCCACTGTCGTGCACACGCGGTTCTGTCGTTCTTGCACTTTCAAATTGTTCAGCAAGGTGTGCAACACATCCTGTGGCCCAATAGCCTTGGCAATATAGCCGAACGTGTTCACAGCGGCACGACGAATGCCCTTCTTGTGCGCTTTCAGCATGTCCAGTAGCTCGAAGCAGATACGCATCCACTCACGGGCCGACACCAAATCAGCACCGCGGTCGGCGATACGACCAACCAAATCGATACAGTTGTGAACAGCAACGCCAGCCGCGAAAAATGCGTCGTTGCCGGGAACAGTCAGGTCGAAGACCCGCTTGGCACCGACGTTGCGTCGCTGAGTAACACGTAGTCCAGCTACCTTCACGCTAAGCCCATACGGCGCTACCTTGTGGGTCTTCTCATGCACTGCGACAGATATTTGATCGCCAATTGGAACATCTCCTGCCGCTTGCCATTGTCCATCAAAGCGCAACAATCGGTGGTCTGGTGTGCAGACAAGCTCGCGGCCATCCTCGAGTTTTAGCTCCACGCATTCACGCTTCCCATTGTCAAGGACACGTGTGCACGTCGCGTCCAAGTCTGCTACCACAGTATTGCCCTCGGCAACGCGAGGACTCATCACGGGGTCACCTTCGACAAGGTGTTCGATGGACTTGGACGTGCCATCAGCCATGGCGACCAACGTTCCTTCGGCGATGCAGTTCTCCTGGACCTTCTCGTGTCGGTTCTTGAGGATTGGCGTCAGACGTGGCAGCAGATCCTTGATCGGCGGTGTCATCTTGTTCATACCAATCACATTCACAATGGCCTTGAGTGCACCCAGAATGCTACCCAGCACCTCGGGGTACTCTTCACCGAGGTACTCATACAGGACCACACCCATATGCCCCATCAGTGGCTCTTGATCGCACGTCTTCATGACCACAGCTATGCGATTGATCAAATCAGCTGCCTGCATGCGCACCTTTGCTGGCTTGTTGTTCAGCCGCCATTTTATTGTGCCACAGATCTGCGGCAAATAGTTCTTCGCACGAATACCCAGAGCATTCACCACAATGCCGAATCCATCCAGCATAACGAACGTATCATCTGACGTTTGCTCTTGGAACGCATACAAAATACCATCGATAAGCTTTTCTTCGAGATCCGTGCCAATATCAGTCGCACCCAAGTTCGAAATAACCTTCTGAATTGCTTCCATCACCATGCGACGGTACGGTTCGCTTTCGTCCTTCAAGTCGTCGACAACCCGTGATATAATCTCACTCGCACCAACGTTATTTGCCAGCTCAACTGTTGTCTCCACTAGTTGCCGGTAGTTTCGTCGGTCCAACGCCATGCGGCGCACCCAGAAGTGCCGGAAAAACTCAGGCAGAATCTTCTCTTTGATATACGATGCTTCCACGCCGTCCGTCGACACACACTGCTTCACCACTTTTAGCACGATCTTCTTCATTTCCTCATCCGGCGACTGAAACTCACGAATCAAGATCTCCATTACTTCCACTGTGTAATAGTTTGCATACTGGGCATCCATGAGAGGAATGATGAACCCAATCGCCTTCAGAAACGCTGCTAGACCTTTGCCATGGTGTTTGCGGGTACCACGCCATAACGGTCGCAGGACGGAGTCGAATGACTCGATACCGTAAGGGTGTGCAGCTTCGGCAAGTGCAGCCAGGGCGAGCGCTGTGATAGTGCGCACCTTCTGTTCATCCTCAAGCCCATGCTCAATGATCTCAACAAGATGTTTCAAATGCGGCAACACAGCGCAGCCCATCAAGATCGCAACCTGCTGCACGATCTTTATACCCGTGTGTCGGGCTTGCCATGACTTGCGCGACTGGCAGACAGCCTTCAGGAATGGCAGCAACGCAGGAATGCCCAACGCTGAAGCAACCACAGCAAAGGCGCGAGCCGTCGTATTGCGAACGTACTCGTCGTCGATATCGATATCTGGACGCATGGTAGAAATCATCGTAGCAAGACCAGCGGCCTTGGCGAGGTTCGATATGATCTCGCGGCCTTCGACACGAGCGTAATAGTCCTCATCAATCAACAGTGGCTCAATCACCACCAGGATCTTGTGCACGTACGGACGCACAAGGTCGTCGAGCTTGTAAAGCACACGATCAATCACCTTCACCAGCAAGTGGCGTTCCTGGTCTTCGAGAGTGGGTGCCATAAGCAACGGCAGAATCTGGTTAAACAGCGCACCAGCGCCAAAATCACGGGCCTTATCGGTGAGCTGTCGCAGTGCAGTCTTCCGCTGCGGCGGAGTACCATTCTTGATCCTTAGCAGCAAACGCATAATTTTACGCTCCCTGGCAGCCTCAGGGTCCAGTTCTTCTTCATTCACTTCGTCCATCAGCTTGCCAAAGTATTGATAATCTTCCGGCTTGATAAACGGCATAGAGCTACCATCACCACCCGATGGTGTTCCAATCGGCACGCCATAATCCTCACGCGCTGGCGTAGCTTGCATAGCAAAGCCTGGTGTCTGGCCCATTGGTGTAGGCGTAGTAAGCAGCTTCCGTGATGGTGTTCGAATAGGCACGTAGGACGCGGGAGGATCCAGAACTTTGTACCCCGTTGCAGGAAACAACGCATCGAGTTCCTCGTCGGTCAACGGACGATTTCGCTCCTCAATCTCGCGCTCCCAGCGCATGCGCTGCGCCAGCTCGGGTGTCAACGAGCCAGTCATAATGTCCGTCATCGACGCGCCAGGTGTGAGCTGTCCCTGTTTACCCGGCGTCAAGTCGTTCACGCCCGGGACTGGCGTCTCGTCCCATCGCGATCGCTTTCCTGTCCCTGCAGGCGTCACGCCACCCACGTTCACAGGCGTAGCGTCCCATTTCGACCCGCCAGAGCTCGCGACCGGCGTTTCGTCCCATCGATTCTTTCGTCCTGGCGTCGCTGCGGCACCAGCAGCCGCGCCAGTGACCGGCGTCGCATCCCATCTCGACGACGTCCGTGTCGGCGTTGCAGCGTCTGCAGTGTCCGCCGACGCCGGCGCGTCCCACTCTGACACACGGCCCTCTTCGCCCTCTGCTCTCGGCTCGTCACCGACGACAGGCGCTTCTTGGTCCCAGCGCATCCGCTTCCGCCGTCGTTTCGGCGTCGCGTCCGTCTCCTGCTCGTCCTGCAGCCCCTTCTGCGGCTTGTCCTGCTCGTCTTGCTCCTTCTGCTTGCGCTGGATCTGCCGCACCACGTCGGCGCGCTCCTGTTCCAGCTGCTGCGTCTGCATGATCTCCTTGTAGCTGCGCACGGGCGTGTCATCGCCGAACGCGTCGCCCCGTTCGGGCGACAGCAGCCGGTCAAAGCGGCGCTTGCGGTACGCGTTCTCGCGGTCCACAATGCGCGTCCCACGGAGCTGTGCAGATCCAGCAGCAGAGGCCCGCGCCTCGACAAACGGGTCGACGCTGTCGTCGATCAGCCCATCACTCTTCTGCGCGGCGAGAGAAGGGGCCGACAGCGTCCGAGTCGACGGCGGGTGCGCGTCCTGGTCCAATGGGGTGTCGGCGCTGTCGTCTCCCTCGTCCACGACAGTGGAGCTGTAGCCTGCAAAGCGAGCGCTGCTGCTGCCACTGGTGCTGCCACTAGTGCTGGTGCTGGTTGTCGTGCCGTAGATATCCTGGTCAAAGTGGCCCGTGGACGAGAGGCCGACGCCCACGTGCTCGTCCTTCTCGGCCATCGCGGAGGAGCTCGGGGTCGAGCGCTGCGGCGGGGGTGGACGGCGTGCGAAAGAACCTTGAAAGGGAATGGAAAAAAACCTCGACGGTGCGAGCGCACGGGGGTTGAGAAGTCGAGGTGATCCACGCTATTTAAGGAAGCAAAGAGTGTTGGTGGACCACACGATATGCTGGGGGGGAAAGGAGCTGTGGACCACAGATCTGGACAGAACCTACTTATGCTGTTGTTGAAGTGTGCAAAGCTGCCACTGCGCTGCTGCATCACAGCGCAGCTTAGTAGACCGACCACTGCACCACTTGTCTGTTTTTTCTTGTGGCGTACTTGACGTGTCTAGAAAGCAAGAGGTTGCAGAAAAAAGAGGCCCATGTCGTAGCTTGCAGTGGTGTAAACTGTTTACGGTAAAAGACGTGACTGGAGTTTTGCAGGCGCAAATAAACTCATTGTAGCACCGCACTCTTATCGTACATTCACTAACGCTCACAATCGATGTTAGTGTTATAATGGTGCAGGGCGTTTTTCCAAGTGACTGCATGCATTCCACACACGCAACACAATCGAGCGTGCTTGTGTCACCATTCACGATGGGTTCTACAATGTCGCGCAAAATTCTTTGTTACGTCAGTCTTGACCCAACGAGTCAATATTCTGATCAAAACCTCTGCGCATTCGGCTTGCATATGCAACTTTGTCACTGAAGATCAACTATCCACGAAAGGTGTGGGATATCCAGGGTAGATCCATCTCCTCTTGTGTGGCTTCCGTCTTGACGTGATCGAAGTGGTCACTGATACTTGCGTGCTGCCATTCGGTAAATGCTCGAGCGATGGCAAGATTGTGTCATTGCTGTGTGGATCACGTGCCGTCAAAAATGTAGGCTTGGTTCAGCTGGGAAATTGTGCGGCTGTGCTGCTCGTTACACCTAGTCCAGTTGATGATTAGCCTGAGGTATACGATGAAGACGTCGTAGCGACTTGGATACGAAACACTGTTCGAGTAGAGTTGGCGTCTACATGGCAACACGACGAGACGCAAACGCCGTAACATGAGCCAGTTCGTTGAATGTCGGTAGTCACTCTTGAGCTGCAACGATCTCTGTCTGCCATTTTCATACTACAACGTGTCCGCAGCAGTGCCTCGTGCTGGCATTGGGCTGCAACAACTTGACTCGCTTCACAAATTCGTCTACACGTGGCCAATTCCACGACCTTCTGCATGGCAGCGTGGAAACATAGCTCGAAAGCCGGTGTAAGCGTGTCTTTCTTCACCAAGGCGATGTTTCGTGGGACCATAGCGAAAGTAAGTGCACAAGCGCTTCGTCGCAACGAGTAGCTACTTCTTACTGGCAAATGCCACCTCGAGTGTGCTGTTAGCTACGGCCATGGCTCTAACATAACTGTAATGCTATTGCGGTCATTCACTGGCTATGTCTTGGGATCTCGTTTCGACACAACTCGAGCGGTTCCAGACAGTGCTGTGTTGCGCGATACATCAACGCCATTTCTCCATATCGATACCAAAAGTACAGCAATCTATCGAGGATCCTTGCTTTTGCGGGCATCGCTTGTTCAACAACTTGCCAATCCGCGACAAAAAGCTGACAGCGCTCGGATATCTATCACGGAGCGCAGATATAGCAGACAACCCACGACAGCATGGCCAACAGTTATGCTTTACTGACAGCATGTTACTGCGACATATCTTTTACCGGAAGAGAGGGTAGTTCTCTGGGCCATCGGACAGCTTTTGATAGGTCTCCGCCAAATATTTTGTATTGCCCATACATGTCCGCCAACTCCTTGAATTCATCATCACTCGACTCTCTCACAAAGCGAGACGATAACATGTCTCCTTCTTTTTCCCACCTACTGAACACCTTTTTCATCCATTTTTCATTGCCAAGCAATTCTCGGACAGTAGCCGTGGCCAACCCGCTGTCCTCGCCAACGAACTTTGCCGCAGCAGTCTGGACAATCCAGTCTTCTCTGCCAAGAAATTTCGCCAAAGCGGATCGAAAGTTGTCGAAAGGGCCAAGCTGTCTGTCCTCCTGGGTCTTGTGTTCCCTGTCGCTCCCTTTTTGCCTCCGGGGGGTGCCACGACTACCCGGCAGCTCCTCGCTGTCTGTCCGGCTCGCAATCGCAGTTCGAAGCGGACCGACGCGGCTGGTCGGGTCCAGTGCCGCTAACGCAGTGACAAAGTCGGCAAGAACCGCAGTAGCAATCACGACGTGTCGCAATCGCATCCTTCTCGTGCGTTGGGCTTCGAGAGTCTCGAACGCGATTCTCGTGGCTCAGAAGCGACTTGCGAAGTAATAAAATGGGGGACATCGAGACGATCGAATGAGTTCAGACTCGAGTGTTGTGTGTTGTTTTCGCGCCGGATTTAGCGGTCGTACGCCAATCAATACCGATTTGTATTGACAGTGGACCTTTACTTGTCGTCCGTCCGTCGGTCCGTCCGTCTGTTAGCCGCAGGTTAAGTCGTGCATCTGTACCACGAACACAAAGAACGGCCTGAAACGGCTTTACACCGGGCAGCCAGGAGCCATAGTCACGGAGCCACAAGTGCACTTCGAGCTTCATGTATATGAAGCTCAATTCCAAGCAAGAGCGAAGGGATTGAGCAATGAAACATAGCGTCAGCTATGTTTCAGCTACTACAGATTTCATGTTGTATGCATGGATCGAGTTGCTGGAGCGTAGACCTAGTGGCTCACTACTGTTCATTGGACCCAGCCATGATCAGCGCCCGGGTTCTTCCACGCTCACATTCTGGCTCACATGTCTCAGAGTTGCACATCGTGAAGCAAACGCAAAAGCGGCAAGTCGAGCCTCTGTCTCCCCCGTTGGACGCTTGACAGCGGGTACGACGGTCAAACACAAGGTTTGCCAGGGCCCGGCGGGATGCAGTCGATGGTGGCTATCTTGGAAAGGATGCAGCAAAGAAAGGGTTTTCACATAAGTAGCTCCTCGAGGTTTCTGCAGCTATTTTGGGCTCTCATGTTAACTGACAGAAATAAAGGATCAGCTCACTTGCGTGAACGTCTCCGCGTTTTCGACGTCGACATGCAAAGTATCATCTGGTTTTGTGTCGATTTTGTCAGTCGTGGATATTAAAGAGGAACAGCAGCAGCGTGATACGAAACTGCGTCAGATGAACGAGACTACAGCACATTCAGATATGCTTTTATTGACGTAGGCAAACGCAGCCTCTACATTTGTCTAGTCCAGTAGGTGCCAAACTGGTGTTGGCAACCGGCTCACTCGGTGAATTGACAAGGTCCACGGACAAACCGCTTCAGTCTATTCTACTTCAAGCACCTCTATCTGCTATTCTATCCTATCGTGTGACTACAATGTTTATTCCGTGAGATCCAACACAGTCTCGTCGACAGCAATTTTGTCCATAGTTGTCTCGTTAAGCCTGCCAGCAAGGTCAGCTATACGTTTGGGAATACCCCTCGTCGCTCGCAAGACCGGGTGCGAAGCGATGAGCTCCAACTTGTCCGTGGTAGAAGGCAGACGCGCGTGGTCCAGCTCTTCAACACGAATAGGCCGACTCATAAGACTCACCAACATCATGGTCGCGCTCTTCATGTCAAACTTTGATAGCGTGTAGAGTCGCTCTCCATGGCCGCGGACAGCGCCGTCCGTACAAATGGACGTTCTTGCCGTCAGCACAATCTTCAGCAACCCGTTATTCGTCAGTATCTCGGACAAGAAAGTGCGAAAGCGGTCGCGGCGAGCGTCATTGCGCAAGAGATAATCACAGCCGTCGATGACCATGAGCATGTGCTGACTGTTGAACTCGATTCGGGCCTTGTGTTGCTTTATATGGTCCACCACCATCGTCTCTAACCGATTCAGCACGCGGCATCTACCGTTACCAATGTTGATGTTTCGCCGCATCATACCCACGTGCTCATCCATTTCGTCTTGGGCAAGCTTTGCAACCGAAAAGATGCGCACACCTCCCTCTGAAGTAATGCGCGGTCCGACGTAATTGGCTACAGCGTGAGCGACTGCCGTCTTCCCCACACCTTCCTCGCCGCAGATCGTCACAAGGCGTGTGATACGAAACTGCGTCATCATCAAAGCAAGACTGATCTTGTACACTTCAATAGAGCGACTGCAGAATCCTTGACACCGCGCTGGCATGTCATCGAACCACAACGTCGGGTACCGTTTGGACTTTACCGGCACCAGATCAACCGTACCCTTCGTCGACTCCACAGCAACCAACGGAAAAATAACCTCCGAGTGGTCGCCATCTTCCGGATAGAGTACGAATTTATCCGCGACAGTGAGCGGTCGTCGAATGTTCGGTGACTTGGCAACCGATTGCTGCGCAATGGTAAAACTGGCTCCGACAGACTTGCCAGTTGCAAGGGCCAGGTAAAACGCGCGCGTGAACTCGATCGCAGCGTAGTCTTCAATCTTCTCGTTCGAGCGCACGCCGATAACGTGCGGGATGCCACACGAGACAAAAGCATGTGCCAGCGGTGCCGACGAGCACGCTGAAACAAACACTAGACGCAGTGTCGACTCGTCGCTCCCGCCTCCTGCCAAAAACAGCTCCTGCAGTCCTGTGTGAGGAATCGGATGGACCAATCCCATGCCGTCTTCAAAGTACAAGTGATTCTCGTCCCCGTGGCCTGAAAAGTGAAGTGCTCGGCATCCAAGCGTGATCATGGCTCGAAACGTGTCCGTGTTGGCAAACTTGGCGACCACGTGGATCTGCCGCGAGCACTGATACGTCCTGGACAACGCCCCGTCCGCGTCCGTGCGACCCAATGCAGCATCGTCCCTGTCGCTGGTAGTAGTAATCGTCGGTCCTTTGGCAAACGTAGCCGCGTCCATAAGACTCGTTTGTAGTATCGAGTACTCGCGCTTGACATCGAGCTCCGCGATTGGGTGGTACTTGCCCTGCACGTCTTTGCCCACGAGTGGCGCGGCAAACAGCACGCCGAGCGTGTACTCCTGGACATGGGGTCGCTGTCGACTGGACTGGTCCTTCTGTCCAGCCTCGTCCAGACCAGCTCGTTGCGTGCTCTTCGTGCCACTACTGCTACTGTCTTCGTGCGCGCCTCGCACGTGTGGATCTTCCACGACGTACCCCAGCAGCACGTTGCCCTGACGCGACGACAAGAGCGTAATCGTCTGTCCGTCCACGAGCTTGTGCCGCGTGTCCTTTTCGACTGGCACGCCGTCCAGTTTGATGCCATTCGTGCTGCGATCAGTGATAAACCCCGCGTGGCAGTGGGTTGCCGGGTCCACGGCCGTCTCCAAGAGACAGTGCGTCCGGCTCAGCTTCACGGGGTCCACGGCCGACGTTTTCTTGTCAAAGATCCCGAGGAACTCTTCCCGCCCCAACTTGACACACGGCGTCGTCAGCTGCAGGTCAATACGGTACAGTCCGTGCTGCTCGAGCGCATTCTTCTGGAACGCCGTCACGACTTTGTCTACGTCCGGGTGCAGCACGAGGCGCACCACGAGACTCGACGACGAGCTGTCGCCGACGGTCGTTTGCGTGCACTCTTGCGTGTTTTGCTGCGAGATGCTCATGACCTCCATGCGCTGCTGCGAGTCTTCGCGCCACACTTCCAGCTGCGCGTCGCGCGCCTCATGGTCGCTGTCGCAGTCGTTGTCGTCGTGTTCGAAGCTGCTGCTGCTGCTGCAGAGCGCGGCGCGGTCACCCACTGCTTCTCCACTTGTTTCTGAAAACAAGTGCACGGACCGTTTCAGGCGTTTGTTCGGTACGTAGCTGGGCGCGTGCCGGCCCGGCTCTTGTCCCAGATTCCGCGCGCTGCGGACATTTGCGGACGTAGACGGGACAGACGTCGTTGTCCGGGATCCAGCCGTGTCGGCGGCGAGCAGTTGCAGCACGGAAGGCGCGCTGGACGAAGCGGTTCGCACGGCTGGAGCCCACAGCGCGCGAAGTGGAGCCGACGGACGTTCGTCGAGCGGGGCGAGGCTGCTGCAAGGAGCGTCCGGGTGTGGTGGACCGTCGTCTGCGAAGGGCCGTCGAGGTGCAGACGCCGCGGAAAAGACGCCGGTGCACGCGCGTTCGTCGTCGCCCATGGCGTTCGTTTCCGTTTGCAGTGCGGAATGGAAAATGCGCACTTGCCGGAAAGAGTCGCGATGGACTGGGGGTGGAAGGGGACGAGAGACGGGGGGAGGAGAGGACGAGAGACGCGTCAAAAGAGAGAGCAAATGAGAACCCACGGAGCGTGTTAGAGACGAGGCAACAGATCGTTCTATCTTCATACACGGAGGATAGCTGGTCTCGAAGGATTGCTGGACGCGCGGTTGTGAGATCGAAAGACAGCACTAGAACCGGTAATGGCGCAGTGCTACGCATCGTATACCGGTGAAAGATCAGCTGCGATGATTGTTGAAGCGAGCAGATGACACGGTGATCTAATCTTGAACTTACCAATTACGAACTCGTTGAAGCAGAGACAAAAAGGACGGATGCACGGCTACATATATCATGGACGGGCAGATGAGGCGCTTGGGCAGTTGACGTGCGCAGTGTCTAGTAGCCGACTGATCTTGCACATACTCGATATCATTGCTAACGTTGGTCCGCGATCGATGTATGTCATGAAGCGATTCGCTAGGTCATTATCTTCGACAAATCTGAATCGAAGCGCTACCTCTGCTCAAAGTAAGCACGGTAGCGCAAACTCATGCAAGAGCAATGATGAGGCCCACGTGAACAATGTGGCTCCTATGATCGGAGCACAAGGCCATGCAGCCAGAAAGATAGATGAAGCAAAAGTCGCTTTGAATGTCGAAAGATGGTTGTCATATCGACGATAGACAGCATGGATGCTTCCCACATGGCTTGACGTTTGTCACAGTGTCTCGGCGAGCGAACTTAGAGTCCCGACTCCTATTCGGAATCTGCCAAGCTGGAATACACGAGGGAGGTACATTTTGTTACTGCACGTCGCATTGTAATCGAGCAGACTGGCCGTAAATAATTATCAGATCATCAACGCTGCGAAGTGAGGCGAGCATGAAAAGTGGAGATGTTATGCTGTGAACTGCAAGCGAATGAGTGTAAACGGTTGACATGTCCGACAGGTGAAAAGTCAGTTGTTATGCAGAGGCAAAACGACCATAACAGTCGAAACGGCCATAACAGTCATAATACGTCTGACCAGTACCCCCCTAGCTTTGACCTGTCGAGCTATCAGCAAATGAGCAGCGTGCTGTCAGCCACAACAAATATTGCTTTTGAGCTTTCCGTTCGTCTCCTATTACCCCTTCAAGCAATATTGGTGCGGGTTTGTTACTGCCTCACATTGACATTCCATTCACTGTCAACGTCGTGTAAGGGGCTCATCTTGTTGCGATTGCGCTCGAAATGTAAGTGCGATTGCACATTGTACGTTCCAACAGAGCCTTTTCGACGACTGGTACCTGCACGCCGTCAAGCAAAACATTGATACTGAATGACTGGCTGACGGCTATGGCAGATCAATCAGCGGACACAAAGCTGCGCAACACCAGATCAGGAGACAAAGGTGCCAAGACGTCGATTCTAGGCACACTCGATTGCTGCAAACGGTAGCGCAAATAGGATGTCAACTGTTCGCTACTGCCAGCACTTGTTCGTCTTACCAGCTCTTTGGTAATACGAGAGTGCCTCCTTGTTGTCCTGTTCCTCGTCCCGAATCTTAGTCATTCGTACACGCTCGCCCAGGCCGGAGCTCCTCCCCGCATTTCACCTGTAAATCAGCACACTTTGTCGTCAAGTGTGCTAGCAGATTTCCATTGGGCTTGGGCCGTTGCTATCGCTCGTTCTATCCGTCGGATAGAAGTAGATACCACACCAGGCCTCGGTCCGATTGCGCTTGAAGTGCAAGTCTGGATCGTAGCCGCCTGCCAGTTGCTGCTCACGACGCAGCTTCTTCGACTCGCTGACGCCAAAATTGGGTCCACGTTTGCCTCCCGGGACCGGGACCGGTTGAGCTCCGCCCATAGCCCCAGGCTGGAAACCCATCATTGCAGCTTCCATCTCGGCCGTGACGGCCTGATCGATCGGAATTGCCGTCGTCGTCACACGCAGCGTCGAGACGTCACTCTCGTCGCGCTCTCCTAGCGCTACCTCCATCAGTTGCGCCTTCTGACGCTCGATATCTGCTTCAAACTGCGAGTCCTCGCGCTGCTGCAGCTGTCGTCGCTCTTCAGCTAGTCGCTGCTGCTCTGCAATGAGCTGCGCAATACGCCGCTCTTCGTCTGCTTTCTTGGCATCGTTTGTAGCAATCGAAATGGCGTTTTCTTGTCGATACTGTTTCCACTGCTTCTGTGCCGCCGCCCGCTCGTCTTCGTTGCCATACACGAGATCAAAGACTGTAGCAACACCAGTCACAAGTGAGTCCTCACTTTGCCCGTGACGTTCATGTGATCATTGGTATTTCCGTACTGAGGTTCTCCAGCATCTCCAGATAGTCATTGTACTCGTCCAGTGTGTCAAAGTCTTCTTCTGTCTTGTTATAACTACCACCAACGTCTTGGATTAGTCCGTGCACTTCCCTCTCAATAAGCATATACACCTCACTCTTTGGTCACTTTCTTGCGCACCGACGTCTCCTTGGCAAAGTTGAGCTCCTCGATCGTCTTGTCTTGCAGCTGCGACTTCTTCACTGGCTTCTGACACGCAGCACACGCGACCTCCCGTTTGTGCTGGAACTCGCGCTTGACACAGTGATCGCAGCTATAGTTAAACAGAGAGAGAAAGAGAGCGAAAGCGAGATCGACCACCAGGGGTACACGTGAAGGTTACTCGACTGTTCGCGTCTCGCGCAGCAAACCAAAGGAGCAGCGACAACGCGAGCGCACGCACAATCGATGGCCACACTTGGAGATGAGCATCTTCATCTTTGTATTGAGGTAATTACTATCGTCTTCCGCCGACGTGCCGCACACGCAGCAGCGCAGCGCCATCTCGTCCGCATCATCTGCTGCCGTCATGCTGAAGCGCCCAATCACATGTGGGATACGGAGGGGTACATCTGTGCAGCGTACCCCTCCTGTCGATCAAAAAGGGGTATACATATCCATCACGGGGTACACGACGTAACCCGTCGATCTTCCTCATGGCGGCAGTCGAGCGCGTCTTGGCAGAGCTCGCGCGGCTGAACGAAGCGACGGCAGCCGACGCCACGTCACGGCCTTGTGCAGCTTCTTGTGCTACAGCTCTGGATGAGTTCTCCGTTGTCTCTGCGTCGTCGTTGGCGCCAGAGGCTGTCGTGAGTGTACCCCACCATACCCCAACTCGTCCTTTGTCGACCGGACCATTTGCGTTGCCCCGCGTGCGTCTCACGTCTCCGTACGCTGACCGGTCTCGCGTTCAGAAGGAGCTCGAGGCTATCGCGCATCCCCTCTATGCGCTGGACCGTCTGGGCCCTCTGCATTGCAGGGAGAAGGACCGTCGTGGACGGCCGAAGAAGGTTACAGTGCCGCCGAGTCGTCTCTTGGCGCAAATGCCTTTGTCTGCGCCCCGACAGGCGCTTGTACCGACACGAGCGTCGATTGTGAGCAATCCACTGTCGATTCAGTACGAGTTTCGAGCAGTGGGCGGCGGCTCGAGCTCTCGAAGCAGACGCGACGCAGCGTTTAGTACTGCAGTGAGTAAACAGGACGAGTACGCGCGAGGTACAGCAAGTAACCGACCGTTTGTACCTGGTGGCAACTCACTGGCCGAGCTGAAGACGGACAATGAGGACGAGCGGCCGCTCAAGCCAATGGACAAAGTGCTGCTCCAGGAAAAAGAGCAGCTCCGGAACCGACTGGTACTAGATAAGCATCCAGTAGACTCAACGTCGTTTTCGAGTCTGGTGGAAGACGTGCCGGGACTGTATGGATGCTTGACGGTAGAAGATGTCGAGAGGATTGAGTCTGACGTTGTGGGAAATGAGAAGAGTGAAGCTGGTGAAGAGATAGTAGGGCTGAATCCTTCATCACTACTGAAGCCGTACTTGGAGGTTGTGGTGGACCAAGACCATGTGGCTGCCATTCGAAGTGCTGTGCTGGAGGAAAAGGCCGCAGACGCAATGGTACGACAGGACGAAAACGTGACAGTTGGACTGGACCAATTGCTGCGTGAAATCGAGGACGATGGCGAATTCACCGAGCTGGGGTTCACGGTCGAGAATGACGAGCAAGAGATCGTCGAGGACGACTGCTCGTCGTTCGTCAGTACTGAGACGATGAACGCAGCGAGTGAGACAGTGGCGTCAGAAAACAAACCTGAAGGGCCATTCAGTGCAAGAGAAGGTGTTGACGATCCGGAGGCAGAATTGGAAGCGATGCTTGATTCAGATGCTGCATCAACAACCCTGACCTTACAGAAGAAAACCAGTTCGACGTCAGAATGGGCAAGCATGGCAAGCGTCGATGTGCGCAACTTTCACGAGAAGGTGCCTGAAATGGCCATAAAGTATGAGTTTGAGCTGGACGTGTTCCAGAAAGAATGCGTGATTCATCTCGAACGGCATGAATGTGTGTTCGTGGCAGCGCACACCTCAGCTGGTAAGACCGTGGTCGCAGAATACGCCATTGCTATGTCCCAGAAGCACATGACGCGCACCATTTACACTTCGCCCATCAAGGCGCTGTCAAACCAGAAGTACCGCGATTTCCGAAGCAAGTTTGGCGCGGACAACGTCGGCTTGATCACCGGGGATGTCAGCATCAACCCGGACGCAAGTTGTCTTGTTATGACGACGGAGATTTTGCGGTCTATCTTGTACCGCGGCGCTGATATTATCCGCGATATTGAGTGGGTTGTCTTTGATGAGATTCACTATATCAACGATAGTGAGCGTGGAGTGGTGTGGGAAGAAGTGATCATCATGTTGCCCGAACATATTGGCATGGTGTTCTTATCTGCAACCACGCCAAACCACTTGGAGTTTTCCGACTGGATTGGCCGTACAAAGAAAAAGAAGATTCATGTGATATCGACTTACAAGCGACCAGTTCCTCTTCAACACTTTTTGTATGCTGGAAAGGAGCTATTGAAGCTGTATGATGCCATATCTGGGTACCTTCCGAGTGCGTACACTGCAGCCAAGGCCAAGCTTTTTCCTGCAACTAGTAAGTCGGGCGCTAGTGCTCGAGGCGGTAAGACTGCTTCTCGGGGTGGTGGTAGTCGCGCAAATGCACTTAGCATTCGCACGTCAGGAGGTGATCAAGGAGAGTGGACAAAACTTATCAACACATTGAAGGACAAAGCGCTGCTTCCGGTGGTGGTATTTGCCTTCAGCAAGCGTCTGTGCGAGGAAAGTGCAAGCAAGTTGGCCAAGCTTGATCTCAGTACATTATCGGAGCGATCTGAAATCCATCTGTTCCTTGAAAGCAGTGTGCAAAGACTCCAGGGATCCGACCGTGAGTTGCCCCAGGTTCTCACAATGAAAGAAATGCTTAAACGTGGCATTGGCGTTCATCACGGAGGCCTGCTTCCGATTATCAAGGAAATGGTGGAGATCTTATTCGGCCGCGGCCTCGTCAAAGTATTGTTCTCGACCGAGACATTTGCAATGGGCGTGAATATGCCTGCGCGTACCGTCGTGTTTAACGGGACCCGCAAGCACGACGGCAAGAACTTTCGAGACCTGCTGCCTGGCGAGTACACACAAATGGCCGGCCGAGCTGGTCGTCGTGGACTGGACCCAGTTGGCACCGTTATCATCGCATGCTGGAACGATGTTCCTGAACCCACATCGCTGAGAACAATGCTAGCTGGAAAGGCGACATCGCTTTCCAGTCAGTTTCGCTTGACGTACAACATGATCTTGAATCTATTGCGCGTAGAGGTACTGACGGTGGAGGATATGATGAAGCGCTCGTTTTCAGAGTTCCACACGCAGAAGGCGCTAGCGTCAAAGAACATTCCTAAGCTGATCCAGAAGGGTAAAGTACTGCTTCAACAGCTTGAGCGGTCCCTCATTGAAGACTACCCGCATCTTGAGGCAAGTGGGGAGCTTGCACAAATGAAAGAGTTTTATCAGCTGTGTCGCGATAAGCGTGAGCTGGAAAAGAGGTTGACAAAGTGGCTGCTTGCAAACAATTTCCAAGCTGCCAAAAACGCAATATGCCCTGGCCGCATTGTCGTTCTTAGTGTGAAGGGACTGCCGTCCGATCAACTGGCCCTGGTTGTGCGCACCCGATCCGCCGTGGTGAGCGATGGTGGAACCACAAGATCGAAGCTTTCGTTCGACACTGGGCTCCAAAGCTCTGTTACTGCTGACGCTGATGCTGACCACAACGGCGCATTTAAGTCCATTATGGTGCTAACTCTTTGCCCGGATGACTACCAGCCTCCGACCGTTGAGATACCCTCGGCCACCGAGAAGAGCGCTCGCACTTTATTGGGTAGCGGGCGCATGTTGCGCAACAAGAGGGATGATGACGATGATCGCATGCGCGGGTATGTGGGCACGAAGGGGAAATCTGAGAATCAAGAAAGCACTGAGCTCGTAGCTCCGTCGACTGCCACGCTCCTTGGAAGAAAGTATGCCGTACTGGAAGTGCCTGAAAGCTGTGTCGACAGCATCACCTCTGTCGTTGTCTCAACTGTGAACACAAAGACGCTGGTGGCTATGTCGTCAAAGAAAGAGCTTGCCAGTGGTATTGAGTCTCTAGCAAAGCTTGAGAAAGAAACCGCGTTGTCACAGAAGGTGGCAATCGCATACGTGGATATTATGGGTGAACTGAAGGTCAATGACCTCGAAGCCGCGACAGGCTATGCCCAGTGGCAGCAGATGTACTCGATGGTGCTCAGCCATCCGTGTGCCACGGATTCACCGTCAAATTCTCGTGTCATGAGCAAAGTTGAGAAGGTTTTCAAGTTGCAAGCGTACTTGGTACGAATGACCCGGGAGCTTTCGAATGACTCGCTGTCACTCTTTCCGGACTTCAAGAAGCGACTCAGCGTGCTCAAGCGACTCGGGTACATCTCAGAAGACGGCGTCGTGCAAGTGAAGGGTCGAGTAGCCTGTGAGATCAATACGTGCGACGAGCTGGTGTTGACGGAAATGATCTTCGAAAATGTGCTAGCGAGCTTGGAGCCAGAAGAGATCGTTGCGGTGCTTTCCGCGCTCATCTTCCAAGAGAAGTCGCAATCTGAGCCGACACTCACCCCCACTTTGGAGAGCACGCGCGAGATGGTCAAGAATATTGCGGAATCGCTAGGTCTTATTCAACTGGAGCAGCATCTGGAAATCGATCCCGCAGTCTACTGCAGGGGTGCTCTCAATTTCGGCTTGATGGAAGTTGTGTACGAATGGGCACGGGGAATGCCATTCAAGCAATTGTGCGAGCTCACCGATGTCCAAGAAGGCTCGATTGTGCGCTGCATCACACGCTTGGATGAGGTGTGTCGCGAAGTGCGCAATGCCGCGCGCATCATTGGCGATCCACAGCTTTACCGCAAAATGGAAGTCGCTTCGGAGGCCATCAAACGGGACGTTGTGTTCGCGAGCAGCTTGTACCTGTCATAGGTAAGTCGGTGGACACAATCGACAAGTGATTAACACTTATAGCTACTCCGCGCATCTTGTTCACACGATTTATGACACCAGCTGTGCCTGCACGAGATGCGGCCACACTGCAGCGCTAGCAGTATTTTTTCGCGAGACTAGCTCCTGGAACCACAGCATGCTCACTAGTGCTGCTAGTAGCCCGTGTCTTGCCTTCGCGGTTCAGCTGATCCAACGACTGGCGGCAGTTGTTCGCATATTCGTCTACTATCGTCTTCCGCCTCGTTGTCAGTTGCAACTCCGACGAGCCCGACACGACAGCTAGCACACTTTCGAGACACACGAGGCGGTCTCGGCGCTTCGTATGGTCCGCTACCTTTTCCACCGTTTCTACCAATGTGAAGAGCGCCGTGGTCAGCAAAACAACCTCCGAGTGCTCGATCCCCGACCAAAGGGAGTCCACGATCGTAACCATGCGACTCAGGTTCACGTCGTACGCGCCGAGGTCAAACTTGTCGCGCAACGCGCGCACCTCTCGCGAGCATCGTTGCAGTTGTGCTCGAGCCTTTTTAGCTGACTGGCCCTTTTTCTTCTCTTTGTTGCTAGATTTGGTCGTCAGCTGGACAGCTGATGGCGCACCGCTCGCCATAGCCGCCTCGCCATCATGCGGCAGCACAATCGCCTGCTTCTTCTTGCTCTTCTCTGCTGGCGCACCCCTTGCTTTCATCCTGGCAATGAGCTGCTTCTTCACGTCGCTACAGTGCAAAACACGACACACACCAACAGTCAATGCCGAGGTCCATCACCGATGACAAAACCCCACACCAGAGGCTCGCGCCACGTACGCTTTCCACGCCTGGAGCCCCGGACACTTGCCGACCATTTTATTGAGCGTCTTTTCAAGCCGTTGCACCACCTGATGATCGTTGTCCTTCTCCGTCACTAGAGTCACAGCATGGTGCCCGACCTCGGTCACGCGCCTTTTCCACGTCTTTATCAGTCCGACGTCTGCTGTTTTGGTCAGCACGGGCATCAGCTGCTGCACTTTTTGGATACTGTCCACAGCGGTCTTGAGGTCTTGCATCCGTTGAATCTTTTTCACCAAACTCTTGGCTTCCTTGTTTTGCACCTTCACGGGGTCATCCCCACGCGCTTCAGCTTCTTGCTTGGGCTTCGCAACACGTTTCGAACTCGCCTCTTTGTTTGCCACAGCCAACGAGCTGCTTGGAGCCCCGCATCCCTTATTTATGGCCATTTCTAACTTGACCTGCAGCGTTTCTAAGTCCGTCAACAGCTCACTCGAGACGGCGGTCTGTTGACTGGCGTGCAGCTTCCGCGTCGCGTCGTGCACCTGCTTCACCTCGGTCATCGAGGCCACGCACGACCGCACCTGCTTCTTGACATGGTGCAGGTCCTCTTCGACCGCTCGACAGCAGTATTTGCGGCGCGTGTCGTCGTCCAAACGCAGTAGGATGCGCTTGAAGCCGCTCAGACGGAGCTGCTCTGCGTCAGTTGTAGCCATTGAACCGGAGTCAAATAGCGTCGGGCGTGTGTTAGAAATGGACAATAGAATTGTCGTGATCGATTTTTGTTTTGCACAGATAGTAGTGACCCCTCGCTATAAGAGTCGTGCTGGAAGGAACACCCTCTATCAAGAAGCTGCAGTATCGCTTGTCGAAACAACGTCAGCCGAAAAGTCATTCGAATACCGTGCGCTAAATACAAACGAGTTAGACACACGGCGCGCAAAGCAGTCGGCCAGTGGAGTGGAACCCCGCGTAAGTGCGACGAACTAACTCACTGGCCCCATATCAGCAGCCTACATAGGTAAGCCAAATGGCCCGTCACTGATGTGGCAAATGTTTTGACCAAAAGTTCACCAAAAGCTTACAAACCGATTCAGAAACGTCATCGGATCTCGGACGCGACCTGAGTGAACGGCGTGTAGCATCTCACGACGATCGAATTCATGCCACAAAGTTTACTGTTGACGTCATGAGGACATGTAAGCAAGACGTAACTGTACGAAGTCATCGGAGATATAGAGGAACAACACGATGTCAATCTGCTCCGTTTTCGAATTTTCCGCGACACAGTATCTTCGACTCGTTTGCCCAGTTAACCTGTATCTCTTGTCGACAATGATCCCGCGCCACTGGCGAGCTCGACGACACTCTCACTATGGCAGGAGTTTCTAGTATTGTAAATTGCGAGGATCGCGAACCTTCACTCTTTCGTAGTGCAATCGTATGTGAGCGTGTAGTATATTCAGCATATCACAAGCAAACCAGCAACACATCGACCCATGTGCATAACATCAATATATGTGGAGGGCTTGACCTCAGCATGAAGAAGGAACAGTGTATGATGCATCCTGAGCTTGAAAAGGAGCTGCTCGAGTTCGTGCTCGAGCGCGAGAATCGGTGTCCAGGACGGGGTGATGACGCTCGTGTCTGCTTGCTCCAGAGCTTTCAGATACGTTGCAATATCAGAAGCCGCGCAATGACCGGAAGAGGTGGATCTTACGGGATGAAGAGGTGTAAGCAGCAAAGCCAAGAATCAGTTTCTGATCGCGCGATGTCTCTCTGCGGTATGTTCTACTTTGACAGACATCATTGCTTTGCACGACTTGCCATTACTCGCAACCGTTTATACATCGAAGCAGCATGACACGAAGAAGATTGGAGTCATCAGCACATCCTTATGCACATAGCAATGCTATTCACGTGCTTTCGTGAGGCTCTTCGCAGGATGGGATGATGAGGTAGGAGCCGTGCCAACGAAAGCCCGACAACGCAACGACAGCAGTGGTAAGCTCAACCTCATCACACTCACGCGCGTAGCGACGTAAGAGATTAAGTACTGAAACCTCGTATGAGCGATCTAGAGCAACAATAAGCTATGGCTTTTCGCCATTCGTCAAGAATGAAAAGCTGTGTGAAGGCGAGTAGACAAGCTGCAACAACTTTGCATTTTCGCTCGTAGAGGTTTGTCTTCCCGAAAGTGATGTCGGCGCTGTATCGGTTGCTAACAATGTCGTCGATCGAGGACTTGAAGCTCTATTGAAACTTGTAAAACCATGGAAGCGATCATTTCTCTCGACAAGATGCGTCAAACTGTATACAAGTAGCCGTTGACGTACGTGGCAGCAACAGAGACTGAATCCGCGATGATCTGCTCGTCTAGCTGATCTCATAAGTTTAAGTTTCTCTCGGACTGTCAGAACATATACAATCGACTTCCAAAACTGGCCTACGGATGACATCGTTTACACAACATTGAAGCAGAACATCTCGCGCTTCACAAGTTTGCTAGACATGTATTGGCTCGAAAGCAATGGTGTCGGGTACAACAGATCGATGGCAACCATTTTTTGGATAAGAAAGTGCTCATAGGACACACTACAGAAATTGGCCCGAGAAAGTCGTCTACAGAGAGAAATGTACTACAGAGAGATACCCGATGCCTAGCTGTCGTTGTAATCTACCTTCCCGCGGGCGGGCACATACAAATGAAACGATAAAGCCACAGATGGTTTGTCTACACTAACACACACTCCGGTACAACTTGACCAAGGCCGGTCTTTCGCATGATGCCAATATCCAAAAAACGAATTCCATGTCCCTTTCACAAGGAATGCTTGGCATTATAGTGCGTTGGAGTCTAGCGTCGCACGCTCGGGCTTGCTCAGATGATACAAAGGTGTTCCTCGATCGTGACTGTAGTTCACGATGTTCTGAATGATCGCGCTCGGCTCAGCTTTAGGCGCCAGAGCTATCGAAGCAGACGGAATAGCAAACGAAACGCTTGTCGTGAAGACGCAGAATACAGTAGCACCTTATCGATGCATCGTACAACTCTGGCGCACGCACTCGATTATGTGTCATAAGGTATCCGAATACGCAACTTCTGGTCAGATGATAGCACGCCTTGGTTGCTGAGGGAACTCGAAAAGGATCGAAAAGAGTACGCACAGTGTTCTGACGTCGTTGAAGCTAACTGTCGGAAAACACGAGACATATCATTTCGTATCTCTGGTGGATTTGCACAGACTCTCTGTGGCGAGAAGCACGACCTGATCGTACCTGCTCTTAGCCCAGAGAGAGTGGCGTCCGTCGTTTACCGCAAACAAAGTGTCGTCGAAGTAGAGCTATCACGATTGACTGTAGATTGAAGGGACAAGGGATTCCAGGCTATGTCAAACTATTCCCACGACAGCAGAGGCAGCAAACTTGATCGTCTCGAATCGGTAGAGACTTTCCACAAATCAGCACTTACGCAGCTACGCACTATCGACGTGGTAAGGACGCTGGCAGCAAAATCGTTGCTTTAGCAAACGGTTGTCGAGTGATCTGTGCCTCGACCAAAGGCGACTTGATATCAGTGTTGCAAGATCCCGGGCTTTGCAGTCACGTCGCTTCCGACTCGGCAATGCGAGCAAGGGCGACTAGAGCGCGTGAGTCTCTGCAGCTGTCACCAACGTAACAGACCCAGACTTGGCTGAGCACCTTCCTGCTGTTACGGAACGTTCGTTACATTAGGCCATTGACGATGGCGACAACGAATGTGAATGTCCACGCATCTGTTCTGTAGTTTTCTGTAGTCGACGAGCATTGCGGTTCTTACAAGACTATGGACTTCCCGACCTGCTTCGAGACGAGAAAAGCCAAATTTGCTTCATGCAGGCAGCTTTGCGCACCACGCGTAGCCCCGTCCTTCCTGTTTTGCCACAATGTAGCGAAAAGAGCCCCACAAGCGCACATTCATTTGGTTCGCCTCTCGACGACAAAGCATTGCACATACCTAACCCACGCATTCAATTGACTCACTCTACCAATTAATTCGGTGCGAAGTGTCGATCATTTGTCATCAGCACATGCATGACGGGGTCATCGATATAGCGTGCCACAAGACAAGTCGGCTACACTTGCAAGTCGTCCAAATCACACAAGCAAACGCACTGCGTATTAGTGTTTCTGCAATTCCGTGAGGAGCGTGAAGTAGCTCTTGGGTAACAAGCACCACACATTTGATGGTATCTCGTTTGTTGTTGGCGCAGACTGCAGTGCGATATGCTGCACAATAGCCAAACGCCAACCGTTTATGCACTTTGTCTTGGCAGCCATAACATCACACAGAAATGAATCAATAGCCAAGAAAGAAGGGGTACTCTGTGCTGTGAAGAGAATGCAGCAGCAACACGGTTGTGCCTTTTCTGGACAAAAGTCGTGACTAAAATACAAAAATAAGTCGTCTCCAGCGCAAACACAACAACCTAAACGACATACCAGAATAAGAAAAGCAATAACGACACTCGTCTCGGGAAGTTACACTCCGGTCGCGAGTCGTCGTCGATTCTTTTTTTGCATCTGTTCGATCGTCAGGGTACCCAAAAATGTGCATGGACCATGCCCTATTTTGCACTGGCCATGGCCCATTTGCACTGGCCATGCCCTGTTTTGCACTGGCTCTCCCATAGTCGCAGCTATTCACGTCAAGTTGACCACCTTTCCAATCGACAGTATACATTCGCCATAGTACTCGTCATGCTCTTGGCTTCGGCCGTCCTATGGATGGTGTGGGTCCCGAACGTGGTCTCTGCTGCCTGCGCAGACGGTCCAACGACACTGACTACCGAAGCGTGTTTTGGCTGCAACGACTACGATTTGTGTCTCGGCTCATCGTCTGCTTCGACTTGTGTTGGTCCCGAGTGCGAGGCGCGTACAGACTGCACCTATCAGTGTCTACCTGTCGACACAAGCTCAGCGACGCTGATTGTGCTGGTGGCCTTCGGGTCCTACAAAAGCGACGAGGAGCTAACAATGGGCGGGTACACAAAGTCCGACTTGGCAGGATATGGGGACGAGACAAGCAAGTGGCCGTCGGTGTCGAATGACCAAGTCAAAGCGCTTGGAAGGATCAGCGTCTCTCCTGCAGTCACGACTTTGTATGTCAATGCTCTCTGTTTCATTGCATCGATTATTGACATGTCTCATGGAGTCTTCGGTTGTCTAGTATTGCGTCAGGTGGACAAGCGGCGGTGGGGTACCCAAAAGGCAAGGTCTCCAGCATCATCCTATCGTCGAATATGATCGCATTGGCAACGTCAGTGACCACCGTGAGGCTCCAGAATCTTGGTCTCGCGAACCAAATCGAGACACTTGCGGCCTTTCTGCCATCATCGGTCGAGTCGTTGGACCTCACGAATACGCTCCTCACAGCCTTTCCTTCGGAACTTGGCAGTCTTCAAGTACTCAAAGATTTGTACGAGGTTTGCAGATGCACTGATGACAATGCTTGACTGATCACGCGTTTTTTTGACGTCTACTTTAGAGTTTTGGACAGCAACTACGTGACGACCGTGGCCTCTGTCGAAGAAGTTGAATCGATCACCACATTGTAAGCACATACGCGACCTTGAGATTGTGCTTGAGCCTCACCTTCATTTGTTTCGGAGCAGAAGTATGCAGAACAACAACCTGGTTGACTTTACGGCGGTGTTCACCAAGTTGGAGAACCTGTACGGACTGTACTGCTCACCGAATATGCGATAAGTCTTTATGGTGCTAACTTTCTGTTGTCCACAGGTGCCTCAGCGGCAATGACTTGACGAGCATACCCAGTGCTATATACCGACATGCAAACCTGAAGACATTGTGCGTGCGGTGTATAGGATCGCGTTCTCGTAGTGCTTGTTCGATCATCTCACTTGACATATTGATGGATGGCAGGAACTTGACCGGCAACTCGTTCGCTTCACGCAATTTTAGCAGCAGGCATGCGAATTTCTTAAACAGCTTGCAGACGCTGGGTTTGTCCTCGTCCGACTTCGATGCTGGAGTGGACTGTGGCGACCTAAGGCAGAGCTTCATATTCGATGTGCTTGTGTGCATCACCGATGATGGCGATTTAGTGCTGAGTCCCACAGCTATTTCCTCTACGTCCGGGTCCAAAGGATCACAGGAAGCAGACACTGCTAGTGCGTCCTCGTCTGCTTCATCACCAACGACCTGGGTTTTGGGCACTCTTTGTGGCGCAGCCACTGCGATGTTCGCTGCGTTCGTATTTGTTGCTCACCGACGAAAAGAACGCGAAGAAGCAGACGTCTCGATTGCAAGTGATACAGTCGGTTGCAGCAGTAGCAATTTCTCCTCCGCTGACAACTGGCACCAAGTGCTTATGCAGTGTCGTGGCAGGAGGAGATCCGGTGACGTTGACGTATTTATCCCAAGACCTTCTAGCGTTGCTTCAATGAGTATCCCGACTGTGACAAACGAGGATAGTGAGGTCTCTGAAGCACCAGCGACTGCCACTGCAGGTGTTTATAGCATTCCTCCATGTACGTCTGCAGGAGAATCCGGCTACAAAAATAAGTCGCAGCAGTTTATGTCGATATGGAACGACCTTGAGCTGCTTTCGATGCAACTACACGCATCCGCAATCGAAGATCTCAAGCCTCTTGGCAGTGGATCATACGCCACCGTTTGGCTAGTAAGATATCGTAACCTACAATTACTGGCATCGAAGCGTCTCCGTCCGGAAAGGCGAACAAAAATGCACACTGCTGCTTTCGTGAAAGAGATCAAGCTGGTTGCTAAGTTTGAGCATCCAAATTTGGTGAGACTTATTGGCGCTGCGTGGACCGATGACACTGATTTGCAGATGCTGTCTGAGTACGTGGAAGGAGGTGATCTCCGAGAATACTTGGCTGAAGCGAGTACGCCAAGCGGGTGGACGACCTCGAAGTTCAACGTTGCGATTGATGTTATCGAGGCGCTCGTGTACGTGCATTCGTTTGTGCCTCCACTTGTCCACCGTGACTTGAACTCGAAAAACGTGTTGCTCTCATGTGACATGGAAGCCAAGTTGAGCGACTTTGAAACCCCACGACTGAGATCGATGAATGAAAGTGGAACGGATGGAGTCGGTGCCGTTCGGTGGTTTGCACCCGAAGTGATTCGAGGCGAGTCTGACTACGGTCCAGCTGTTGATATCTTCAGCTTTGGAATTTTGCTGACTGAGTTGGACACTACCCGCATTCTGTACAACAATGTTCGTGGTTCCAACGGCAAGCTAAAGCCCGACTTGACAAGTCTGCACCGAGTAGCGACAGGAGCATTGTACCCGAAGGTCAGGACAGGTTGCCACCAAGCGTTGACGGATCTGGTGGAGCGATGTTTGCTCGCAGACCCGTCCGAGCGTCCGACTGCTCCTGCCATTGCTTACGAGCTTCGTGTGATCCAGCAGGACATTCTCTTGAAGTAAAATCTTGCATGTGGCTGGATCTGGGTCGAGGTTGGCGAACACATCACGGCAAAAGAGCGCAGTGTGCTCACCGTCTTCAAGTTCCTTGTTCAGTGCAATAGGTCGCACCACATCAAAGCCCCTCGCTCGTCATTTGCAATGGAAAATTAGGAGCTTGGTTGTCGGTAGTGGCTTGACCACAAAAGTGAGCCATGGGCTCGTGCACTCTGGGCTGTATTTTTGGACATGACGCCTACTGAACGAATGAATCTCACGATAGGTACAAGACACTACCAACGTTGTGCGTGAAAAGCTGGGCTCCACCTTACGATCGACGTGTCGTACGAATATATATTGCCAGGACCGACAATTCTAGCCAAAGTAGGTAGTACACTACATGTACCACCACCATTTGTTAAAGGTTGCCTGAAAATGTCGCTATGGGTTGTCGATGCAAAATTTGTGACTCATGTGAGAATGCGGCAAAACAGGACAAATGATAATCATTACACCCTGTACGTTCTTCGCTTCGTGCGAGAGAAACACTCATTCAGGACTGCTACTCCAAGCCCCATGTAGCTTACAACTTAACGCTCAACGAAACGATCTGCAGATGATCAATGCTTAACCTGCTTTGTACTTTCGTCAGACCTAATTGAAGTTAAGTTGATGTCGCGCCTACTCCATCGTTGAGCTAGAATCAGTGTTGTAAGAATACTTGAATGCTCGGGTAGCTTTCAGTGTGAGAAACAAAAGTTTATTGTTTAAACGCAAAGCCAAAAACGACATCAATACCTAGCCGTTAGTGGCCATCCGGTCTATGCCTCAGACGTAGCTAAGGTGTATTGACGTAGTCGATTACACAGCAAACTCTGTAAGTGGTCTTTGGAACAGTCACCAGTGTAAGAAATGAGACTGTCACTTGACATTGACATCGAATCCAGTACTAATGAGATTACTATCTTGGCAGATAGGATGCAGCAATATAACCATAAACGGTAAGATGGAGAACATATTGTCTACAGAAAGTAATATTGAGGGGTACTACAATTGAAGGTGTAGTATCCTGCAGCACTTGACAACATGCTGAGCAATGGCTCATGTAGACCATTATGTCAGCTGACAACGTTGTTAGTCAGTGACAGCAACGCGCAAGTGGTGAGCAGGTTGTCAACATATGTGATTGCGGTCTAGCATGATCAAAGGAAGCTTACGCGATGTCGTAACAGAAGGCATGCTTATGCTGCTTACACTTTTCGTTTCCCACTCAACGAAGCGGTACTGTTTAGTTTTCGTGCGCTTCCTTCACACAAGAGTATACGTGAGATTTCGAGGCACACGTATGCACCATCGTCAGTGTAAATTGCTGCACTGACAGCAGTGTGAGCGTAGACAACCACATGTCGACTTGTTCCGTTCGTAGACACCAATGCAAACTCCGTTCGTCTGGACAGCAAAACAAAGCTCAGTGCGCGGCAACATGAGTCCGGATGCTGTAGCCCTCTTGTGTAGTACAATGTAGTAGACACAACAGACGTCCGCAATTGAATTTCGCGCGTGTGAGTTCGTCAATCTTAGCACAAAAGGTCTTCCGAGAAGCCAGTTGATTTGTGCAGCGAAGAAAGCCCGATTGAATGGAAGAATGCGCGACAAAACGCACACTATCTTTTTCAGTAACGCGTCGTGTCGATTCACCGAAACGCGGGTATGAAACAGAATAAGCAATGTGGGACAAGCTCTTCGTGTACCTTTCATGATCATTAAGCCGTAAGGTTATGTAGTGTGTCTGACCTGGTAAGTTTCCCGTGTTATGTCAAACTCGGCCGTATTGTCATATTTTCCTCTTTCGGGTGAACTGCGATAAGGCAGCGCATGCAAACTGCTACGTGCACGTGCAGGATCTGTATCACTTGGTTGCGCATATTTGCTGTCCCGGTGGCGGGTTTGGCGGTGTACATCGAGGTGCTACAAACAAAGAATTTGGTGGAGGTACACAAGACAGGGATCCCGAAGTCAAGCTATGCGATGTAAGCAAGGTGATTTTCGTGGACATTTGTCTGCTACGTGGTCAAGTACCGCGCATTCCATTTCTGGTTTGTGGAAGTCACAATTAATTCTTGCCTGGTATTGCCACTTATGAACGTACTCAATGTTTGCCACGGGTGAAACCCAACGGCATGAAGTTGCGAAACCGACGCGTCACAAAGTGCAAATTGTCGTGCTGGGTACCCCGCATGCAACATGTAGAAAACTTCAGGTACATACATGCAAATTAGACGTATCTGTACATTATCAGACACATGTATACAGGTTTGTATACATCTGCAAATAAGTATTCATGCGTACTGACCTATTCTGCTACAACTCCACGCACGTGGCCTGCGAGACGAACGCAACCAAGTAGACTGTTTACCACCACTCGATGTCAGGATCTCGACACTTGTGATGACGCATTCCCAACTGTGGCTTTTCATTCGATACAACACGAACGGACAGACGGTTTCGTACCAGCTTATTCATTGTGACCTGTTGGTCTCATTCCCTCATGTCCTCGTGGTCATTTCTCTCCTCAGTTGAGACACATCATCAAGCGTATGAGCCCACATCCTTCTTGTCGTATAATCTTGTGTTCAAGCACAGAGTCTAGCGTCGATACGGATGCACGATGAATGCGATTGCGAGCCAGGGGCGAGCCAAAGGTTGTAACAGTCAGCAGGTGTGTCGGTCACGTACTACTTCTTCTAGATAGCACACACCAGTGCCGGGCAATGTGTCAGCGGCTCCTTAGCCGCGTCAAGGCTCGAACGTGGTTCTCCATCATCACAAGCGTGGTCTATTCGACACAGCTGTGGACGGATACGCACGTAATATGGTCGATTCAAGTAGCAAGTAAGTGGTCATGTGCTGAAAATATTAGGAACTGGACGCACTCGTGGAAAACGTGTTGCGTCACCACATAAACAAGTGTGTCAAGTGAGCGCTTGACCGCCGCACACTCGATACCAACTGCAACGAGCGAAGGCATGTGCACAACAGATCCTGTGAGCAAATCGCCAAAACGGCCAGGTAGGTGATCTCGTCGATCCAATGGCGGCCACAATGTCACGCCTCTTTTTCATTACAATCGTCCTGCCGGAGCAAATGGCTTTACCACAACAGTTTGAGGGTGAATTGTCGTCGTGTCGGAAAAGTTGGTCAGCATCACCAATGCATTGCGGTCACGTGCGTTGAGTGTACACCCTGTGAACGACATTGCGATTGAACATAAAGACGTTGCCAACGCGATTGTAAGGTATCGACGCTCGAGAGTGGTTTCCTCCGCTATGCTGTCGAGCCCTCGACTCGTCTGCTCGAATGAAAGCGGAGTCAGGAGATCTTTGAGCGTTCTGATGGTCGTTTGTTTTGGGCAGCGATGGTGCCGATGTGCGCGTCGGTCGAGAGATACAAATGATCGGTTCGCGCATGTGCACACGACATGACGCCGTCCTCACTGAACATATCATGTCACGCGAATTCTCTGGATGAGAGTCGACTGAAGAGACCCGTTTGCACCTGGACAGAGGGAGCTATGGTGGAAGCGGCTGATGAAAACAGCAACATCTCACTCCTTAGTGGCTGCGCTTCAGAGCTTACACAATTGTAAGAGTAAGATCGCCTTCTTCAACGTGCTTTCGCTTTGTTGCTGAGAAAAAATCCAGCAAGCGTTGGAAGTGCAAGGTACCACCTGCCGACCACGACAAGCTCGGACAGAATCGATGGCGGGATCCAGAGCGTTCGATACGTGCGGGAAAGCGTCCAGTCTTTGTTGAATATGAGCGCTTGCTCAGTACACGTGACATGACTTTAGAGGCGAAAAGTGCCATGCGACAACATGGAGAATGGACCTCGGGTGTCTACGTCCGGTCTCCCACCCGACTCGCATGTTACGTACGGCCAGGACGCAGCGCAGAAAAGTAGAGCTCCACACGACGAAAAAGGATACATCGTGATGTCGTTAGGTCGAAACCCAGACGTACGATCGATCGACGCGCCTTCACGAGCGCTGCCCTTGTCGTATCGCTTAGGTGTCACCGCGTACAAACGAAAGCTCGAATGAATCGGTCTGCAAGAAAAGAAACAGTGTGTGTACGCGGCATACGCAACTGTATCCAGGTGGGATCCCCAATGTGGTCGAGTCGTCTCGCCACCACATGTACCGGGTCTTTTGTTTGCGTAATATCAAATGGCCGCGACAAAACGACTTTCTGTTGTGCTGGAAATGTGAGAAGCAGGTGATGAAACTTTTTTCGGCTTGACCTCACTTTCCAAACTACCACAAACACGTCAAGTCAGTCCCCAAGTCCATCAGCATTCCCGTCGTCGTCGTCGACCATGAGCTTCCCTGCAGACCGTTTCAACCTGGAGAAACAGGTGACGTTCTACTTGTCGTACCACGACAACAAGGTCAACCAGTACATCCACTTGGTCTGCATCTGGCCCATCTTTGTGTCGGGGCTCGTGCTCCTGGCGCACACGCAGCCGTTGGTCGAGACGCCATCGTTCTTGGCGGCTCTCCCCTATGGCCAATTCATGCTGCTCAACTACTCGGCCATCGTCGCTGCTATCTACATGGGCTGGTACGTGGCACTGGACATCCGGGCGGGCACATTGGCGGCTGGGATCGTGCTGCTCAGCTACCTGTTTGCCAACTACTTTGTCCTGGAAGGCGCTGAGGCTATGGGCGTGCACAGCGTACACGTGTGCATTGCCATCCAAGCCACCGCGTGGGTCTTGCAGTTTGTCGGCCACGGACTCTTTGAGCGACGCAAACCGGCACTCTTCGCCAGCCTCGACCAGGCCCTCATCACGGCCCCGATGTTCGTGTTGCTCGAGATTTTGTTCCCACTTGGCTACCGCCCTGAGCTTTACCAGCGCGTGTTGAAGCAGGCGAAACTCAACGTCGCGAGCTTCAAGGCGACCAAGACGCTGTGAGGCGGATCGATAGCCGTCGTGCACCATGATGGACTACGGTCGTAGTAAAGGGAGAAGAACCTCATTCGTGTTGTTTGTCGTATCGGACATGTGGGTACGAGGATGGTAGGCAGGCAAGTAACAGCACCAAATTTGTGTTTGCAAAGATGTTGCGTACGTGAAGACGATCGTAGCTGTCGGCGCAAAACTCTTGCACATGTCGTCAGCGACAAGGAGGCAGCCGTCTTGAAAATTACTAAGCTCGTACTTCTGTGGTTTCTCGCCATATCGGTCTCTCACTTGCTGTGTTTTCGCGCTCCGCACTTCATCGCACGAGGTATCAATCGCATAGACTGGACACAGTTGCGGCATATCGCAAGTCCCAGTGATACAACAGATGCAGCAGACGGCAGTCTCGTTCCGCGTAACTGGACCTCTCGTCTGACTCGAAGATTCTTTGACACCCAATCATGGGACTAGTGGAGCTACGGACGCGTATCTAATCACCAAGTTCGATCGACAGAGACCGTGCCCTGTCGTCGCGATTACGCGGAGTTTTCGTACCATATTGCGCCATTGCGGTACTAAAACTCCGACAGTGCGTCGCGCATATGTTGGTTTGGTGCAGCGACCCCTGCTTCGTTGTGCTCGAATCTGTAGAGAAACTCTGCTGTCGTTGTTGGATGGACCTTGTCCGACCAGCCGCAATGCACGTCAACAGTGCGCTGTGTGTGAACGGGGCTCAGTGGTTGTCAAAAGTCTCAAGCCGCACAAAAAACGTCACGTCCACATTGTCCGTGTCCATGGACTGCAGAGCGCGTCGCACTAAGGCTCATGATGGGCCACGTAGTTGTACTTTTGCAGCTGGTACACGTAGGGTCACAAGTTTATATTGCAACTCACAACACTTGCAGTACACTTGTGTTGCATCTACAGCAGATAAAACGATACTGCATAAAACCGATTGTTCATCCAAAACGGTCTGATGGACATCGACTGAATGAAGGCGCACCACACCACAGAATGCGTAAAATTGTCAGTAGCGATGCAATTCCTGTCGCCATTGTTTGTAATTGTTGTTATTGTTATATTTAGCTAGAGACAGGAATGGCGACGGCGGACGCCCTGTACAAGTCCATTTTAGCGCGCGTCGAGCGCTCGGAGCTGCACGAGCAGATGGATAAAGTGGTACGACAGGACCTCGAGTCGATGTGTAGCCACTTGAGCCACGCGTCACTGTCGATCGCAGCGCTCCGGCAGCTGCAAGCGGCGGCAGCGCACGTGCGACCAGGCGGCGACTGGTTGCCAGTGACATTCGAGACGCGATTGAAGCGTATCGAGGAATTGCAGCTTCAGATGGTGACGAAGGTGGATCAGTTCAGTTTGGAACGGAGGATGGGGAAGTGGACAAAGCTGGAGCGAAAGAGGAAGAGGAAGAGCAAGTCACTGGATGACGATGCGGTGGGTGTAAAAGACGAGAAAAGATGTGCTGAGGGTACGGAAGTCGGAGAAGATGATGTTGAGATGGGACTAGATGAGGTCGTGATGATAGAGATGGACAGGAGGGACGAGGGGGACGTGGAGAAGAGGAGAGAAGCAGAGTTGGCCTTTGTGTTTGGTGGGAGAAAAGAAGAAGAGGAAGAAACGATGTGGTGTGGTAAACGCGATCATACGGAGACGAAGATGGTGGAAGTAAAAGACGAGCAGGGGCAGCAGCAGCGAACGAAAGGGAATGAATTGAACGTGGCGGGTGTGAATGTGATGACGGCGGACGAGTTGATGAAAGAAGAAGAGGAAGAAAATGTAATCGAGGTGACAACCGTGATAGTTGTTGACAACAAGGAGCTAGCGAGCGAATTGATCCCCAAGCTTCTGGACGTGCCTGTGCGTGTGAAGGAGGAGTTAGTGATGTGTGACAACGGACAGACTTTGCTCGAGAAGGTCGGATTTGGGTCGGAAGCGAAAGAACTGGCAAACGAAGTGGCGCCGAAGCCAGAGGATGCGCCTTTGCTTGTAACGGAAGAACCAGCAATGTGTATCTACGGTCATGGTCTGCCCGAGGACGAAGGATGTGGGTTGGAAGCTAAAGAGCTGACAAAAGTGATAGTGCCAAGCTCGCAGGATGCACTGTTACCTGTGAAAAAGGAATCAGTGATGTGTGCCGATCGGTTCGTGTCGTCGAAAGACGAAGAACCCAGGTTGGATCATTATGCAGCTACTGCTGGAATCGCAAAGTCGGCTTTGAATGAGCTGACGATTTCCGAATCGTCCAGTGAGTCAGCAGTGGAGCTAGAGGTGCCAGATTCTGATTCTGACGAAGCGTTTTCGCCTGTCCACGAAACAGTGAAACGACTAAAGAATTCGAGGGCTTCTACCCAGCTGGTCATGCTTCCAGCGGCTGTGGATCTACTACGCGCCTACCTAATTGATCACAAATACATGACTGTTGTCGAGATGGATGGATGTTTATTCACGCACAAGCCTTTTACAGGTGAAGAGGCTCACGCGATTTGTCGTACGATTGAAACCATCATCTCTGTGGTCACGAAGTTACCAATGCGACCAAAGATCAAGCTGGCGCTTTGCGACTTGTTCACAACCGTTGAACAGCTTGAGCTCGCACTGGGCGAACTACCCGAATCTTTACGTCCGTAAGTACTTCGATCGAGCAGCATTCTGTCTCGATTCGTCCCTCATGACATTGCGGCTCATATGTTCATGTTTTGTTGTTGTGTGCAGGGCTACGAATAGGTTATCCACTTACTTCAACTTGCACGTTGGAAGAGGTTGCGAACGCTGGAAATTTTGAGCTGTATGGTACCATTCTGCTCATGGTGATAACTTAATCGAAAACAAGCGCTGGTCTGGGCTTGACATCATGATCTTTGTCACTTTATCACCTGGTGAATACCTGGTTGTCCATCGCATTTGCCATTGTGCTGCATGCCTCCTGGTGCACTGACATTGAGTACGTCATGTCGGTCGTTGACGTCCGATGTTGTACCTTGTCAGCTGCTGTTGCTCGGACTCCAACGAGTCTTTGGAGGCCGACCTGTGTTCCTTTTTCCTTGTGTAAGCCAAGTCAAAAGATCGAGATATGGTGCATTTGGTAGAAAGCCGTTGCGCGTTGACACGTCACGGCCACTTGGAACAGCTGCAACATACCACATACTTCCTCTGTGCTTCTATCACCACCGATCTTGAGCTGTTGCACTGTAAATGTACGGCGACACTTCCTCGCTCACTGCTGTCGCCTGAATGATATGTCGATCTTCGTCGTTTACATGTTCACTGTCAGGTCTATTGCTATAGCCGCAACTTGCCGACAAGTACCTAACCGAACAAACGGCTTTGGTGTCTTCATGTCGCTCTTCTTCCGCCACGTCTTCACCTCATCAAGGCAATCTTTCAGACACTTGTCTCTACTTAACTTCACTGCCGTACACGCAAACTCTTTCAGGTCGAGGTACGATCTTTCTTCTGGCTTTACAATTCGACATTGTAGCCTTCGCTACCAGGAGAATCTGACTAGATGCACAGCTTCTTCACACGGCCGTTTCAACAAGAATAGTCCTTCTCGAACGGGTACGCAGGTCAGTCAGGTGGACAACACTACAACCCATTCTTCAACAACTTCTGTGGACCACTTTTGACCTATCTGCTTCATTTTGGTGTTTCACACTATTCTCGGCGTACACGAACGGACCATCGTCGGAACGACGTGCGCTGCAGTGCCGGCTTTGCTTCTGTTCCCACGTGCGTATACTTTTGGATAGGGTCGTCTATTTTGTTGTTTAGGGTCGCAGAGTTTGATTGGGTTTACGAGTGTTTGTGGTGTGTTTGCTCTTCTACTGCATGGTCTTTTGTCGGTACAAGTCACTCGTGGTGTAGATCGGAGTCGCACTTCAAATACGCTTGCCAGCGTGGTGGCCGTCATAGCACCTCAATTACTACGAACCGACTTCAGCTCCAGACACATCCGGGTAGTGCCACGGCAGATCTCGACATGACTCGATGTACACACTCGTGCTAAGTGTCTTGCTTATCAAAAGCATAATAAGTAACGCTTGTGGACATGTACTGCACATAGCCTACCTCAATGGGACTTGTGCAACGCCACGCGGATATTTTTACCGTTGAATGGATAGCCGTCCATCCTCATTGCAAGTGTCATGCCGTCCAACGCCGCAAAGCGCACAATCGCAACACCTACGGTGCTTCCATCGGCCATCGTGGGCATCTGCACGGACACGACTGGGCCGGCAATGCCAAAGTACGATGCTACATCAGCCTCCTTTGTCGATCCCCATGGCAAGTCCGAGACAAACACTTCATACACCACGTCTTTTCCTGCAGCATCTGCTGCTGCAACAGCAGCGGCCGTCTGCTCAATCTTGACCGATAAGTCAGCCTGAGCAACACGCTGTCTCTTGACCTGCGGCTCGTCTGCTGCGTCTACAATATTGTTCGACTCGCTGCTAACCAGTTCATTCTGCAATGCATAGGACGGCCGTTTCTTGGCCAGCAAGTCGCTCGACGACCTAGCATTCAACGCACATTGTCAACATCCAACCACCAAACCGTCCATCATCATCACACAAAACGCTACTGCTGCTACTCGTCAATCCTGTTCCACTCTTTCCTCACCTGATGTACTCGTCAATGTCATCGTGCACACCCGCCATCTTTTTCAGCACGTCGTCCATCGATCGAAGCGTCGATTGGGTCGTCAACGGACTCAAGAGCACGGACGAGATCAAGTGGTCCAGCACAAGCACCAACTCGTTGCGGAGTGCCTCGTCAGGACCTGCAGGTGCACCGCGTCCAATCAACTCGGCAACACTGGCCACGTCGGCGAAGCTCTTGTCGATCCACGCGTCGCTGCGCTTGCGGGTCATACGGTACTGGATCTTGCCCAGCAGTTTCGTCACGAGCTCGCGGTTCTGCTTCTCGCTTTGCTTCTGCTGGGAATCGACACTGTCGGCCGGCGCTTCTGCCTGCAGCTTCCGCTGCTCTTGTATAAACGACTGGAGCTCGTCACTGAATGTGCTGTACTTGCGCTTAATATCGGCACACGTGGCGGCGTTCTCGCGACTGAGCGGCACGTCCAGCTTAGCAACGGCGTCCTGGACGGCAAGCGCCTCCTCGGCTTTGTCAATACACGTCTGCATGCACGTCTGCAAGTTGCGCAGCTCGTCTTCGATAGCGGACGAGCAGTACGAGCGCAGGGCGTCGCCATTGACGCGCGCGAGGATGCGCTCGAACCCGCTCATTGCGGCGGTCAGCGGCGTGTTTGACTGGAGGCGCTCAATTGTGCCGCGGAGGTGGTACACGCGATGCGATTTTATCCGACGAAACAGATGGCGGGTCACGGGAGATCGATTGATAGCGTCAACATAGATCAATGACTTCGACACGTGCCCATTCCCACATTGACATTTTGACCTAAGACAGAAGTTGGTATTGTCGTCGATAGGACCGCGACTGTGTTTGCAAACACCGCTGGGCTGGAGATGTTTTGAGTGCGAAAGAGAAACAAAAGGAAAAAGATCTGACTGCCGAGCGGGTTCATTGATGACGGTGCAAAGATGTCTGCATGCAGATCTCCCTGGTCTCGTGCCAAGGCTGCAGCTTTCTCCTTGCTGGCTCATCCTGCCGGCTCGAGACGTGCCGAAGTGCACTCTGTAGAGGAAAATCGTGAACGGCAACGAAGCTATGATGCAGAAAAGGAGGGAAGGAAGAGTGGACGACTGGGAGGGAGACCAGTTACGGCTTCGAACACTTCCAGTGGACCGTCTTGACTTGTGCCTGGCATGCACCTCCGATTTCTAGACCGCAACGTAGAGCATCCACGTTCTGGGCGAGTTCGCTCGTCAAATAGAGATTCGCGCCCGGCTACGGGTCAGGGACTGGAAGTCGGGTCGAATCGAGCAGGAAATGATTCGTGCCTCGGCGCAGGCTATTCGATGCACTATCGATGTGACCAATACCTCAGGATGTCTTGCCTGTTGCTCTTCTTCTGCTTCGCACGCTGCGTTGCCTCCGTGGCGCACGCAGCTGCAGAAGAAGGTATCACCTTTAGCCTGATCTCCACGTTGGAGGGCTTTCCGCCCATTGTAAGGCGTGAAACCCCGGTCTTTGGCGTTCTTGTTGCCCTTGTGCATAAAGAATGGAAAGTAGTTGAGTGTGAATGTGTGTAGCAATTGCATGTAAAGGAGCAAGGAGGATGCGACAGCTGGAACGGACGACTTGCCAGTATGACGCCTTCTGCTGATCAATTCGACAAGGTATGCGGTACGACGTCGCTCCGCATTATTTCGCGTAGGGCTTGATCTAGAGCTACTCAAGGCCAACAGACTCCGACGAGAGCAGAGAATCGTGAACCGTTTCATACAGGAGTGACACTTATCCTCGACAAGCTGTATCGGTCAAAACTAGCCGCTACGGAGGCACATGCAATGCTTTACCTGACTTCAGCAAAGAAATCACGCGATTGTCACATTGATATTGTCAACGTACGAGAAGTCAAGAACGAAGATCGCTGTAAGAGTAGCTGTTGGTCCAGCCATGACCACGACCGCATGATTGTAGGATCGTGCTATAAACGATGTAAACGTGTTGAGTCATCGACATTATGTTGTGCCATTCTGCTATTGCTAACGATGGTATGTATCAATCGTCTGTTCGTCGCTATGTTGAGGCATGATGTTTGACAAATCCTGATGCGGACAAATACCATATATTTTACAAAACTTCCATATTGTCAACAGAATCCAAAAGACTTAGATTGTATGAATTAGTATAGCCGAATATGGTGACAAGAGCGGAATGTATGCATCAAGTTTAAGCTTACAAAAGGTACTAAATCAGCTCCTACATAAAATGCAATTGGACAAAATTGTGTCGGAAAGACGTACTACGGATGTATTCTGACGTACGAACATCCACATGACTGATTTCGTACCCAGAATAATTTCTACGTAGTTCCTTCTAGCCGGCGCCACTCTAGTCGTCAGGGCTCAAGCAGGAATGAGGAATTGCCTCGTCGAAGCGACAGTTCCAACCGACCGAATAGCGACGTTAAAGACCACTTGACTGATCTGGTTGAACCATTTGCCTGCTGGTATGAGGAGGACAAGTTGGTTCTGTGAAACTCTGACATTTTCCATTGTAACTGGTAAGCAACGATTGCATACCTGAAGAAATGTTTATGTTTGTATTCCATACAATGGAGGCAAGACCGTGATTATGCAGTTGGTACAGCAATATGTTGTCCTGTCGTCAAAAGCAGGCACAAAGGGATTAACTACAGCATCCTAAAAAAATTGAACATCGTGCCACGGTTCAGCTGGTGAGGTATGACGGATACAAGAGCAAACAATCGCCTCGGACCTCACTAGGAATCAAAAGCCTTTTTGTAGGCGGAAGCTAACAGACTAGCCAGTCGGGATAGAATAATGCTCGATACCGCCACTGTACCTTTGGCAGGCATCACCATCGAAACATAGCTGTTGCTGTATGGTAAGCGTTGCAGGAACCATCCGAAGATACCAGCGGGAATTAACCTTGACCAAGCCCAGCACGTGACGCTGTATTGACGTCACGATGCTATACGCGGACTTTGCCACGATGCACTGCCATTGTCCGAAGTCGACTCGTAAGTCAACGAAAGGCTATTTACCGCGATTTTGGAACATGGGTTCAAGTCTTCGCCGGGCACTTCGACTCCACTAATTCCCGAGGATATCCCGTAGCATATCGCCAAAAAAATGTATTCGACAGGTGTTTGAGAATCACGCCTCTCGATTCTGTAAAAATCTGTTTGCCTGATAACCGTTTATTCGCGTTGATTGACTTGACGAAATCATAGAGACGAATGAATGGAATCGCGCAGCGCTCAGGGAAGTGCTTGGCCAAAACTTAGCATTCTAGTGATAGTCTCATACCATATCAAGTGTGCATCGTATCGGGTTGCGACGCGACAACTTAACATGTATCATACTGCAAGAATTGAAGACGGAAGTTGCAAGAATGCATCACTCTTCGGGGGGGCGTGAAGAAGATCTTGAACCTTTGCAGGCTGTGCCTACGTCGCAGGGCTCTGGGACAAAATCGTCAGGCACTGAACTGCGGAACGAGCGATCCGCCATCCGACGCAACAGTCGTTAGGTGCCTGTGCAAGCAGACAAGTCACCCGTATACGCTCGTATAGAAATATGATATGGAAATTGGGTTCATGACGATGTGTGAGAGAGTGAACGCATATGGACAAATTCGAAACGCTCTCACAATTGATTGTTTAGCAGAAATTTGGGTTGATAGATTACTGCTTCATAAGTATTGACCTAAATAACGTTTCCAGTTCGTGACTAGATCCATCATGATGACGTCGTAGGGGATCCGTACTTGACGGCAAAGCTTCTTTCTTGCCAAAAATGTCCGTGTAAGGGCTCGCGAAACTGTAGCGAAAACCTATAACTTCCGTCGCTCAAAACATTGGAATGCGTAGGTCTTGCTTGCCCATGCCAAATGCATATGCCCGCGTACTATTGGTGATGTGTCCGCCTAGTCCAATGACTGATTCGTCATGCGTTCACGATAGGCACTTGAACAAATCAGACGCTTTTTCGACAAGGCAGCACCTAGCACAATGTTATCGAAGCTGTTTCGTCCACGCGGTGTTTTCCTACAACATGCAGACGGAAGCCGACGTTGCCATTGTTTATCGACGAAAAGCTCCTGCCCGATCAACTTTCTTGCAGTTCAATTGTAGCCATTGAGCGTGACCACTTGCAACCATAAGATCAACTCGACATTCAGACCGGTTCTTTTTGAACTGTGCACCAACATATCGTTGATGCATGTTAATCAACAAATACAAAGGATGAAGGAATGGTGGCCATCATCGGCGGCGCTTCCAGAAAAGATTTTTTTTCAATTTACCAATACCTCTTTAATTCATCTCACATGACGAAGCAACAAAGGTAAATCGAAGATATTGGTGATACGACCTTCGACTCGTATCTTGACAACGACACGACACGACTTTATCGCCGCACTGGTAAAGCCTGACTTTACCCACAAGCCACTGAGCTTTAGTCAAAGTTTGTTTCACCTGACGTGTATCTTCCGTAGTTGCGGCTGTCTCCCGTCGTGCCGTCTCCGCCTGAGCGGCTAGAGTGACTTCCACTGTCATGCATTCCGAGCGTACCTTGATCACTACCATTACCCTTATCCGCGAAGTTTGAATCGCCTGACGTGTATATTCCGTAGTTGTCGTTGTCTCCTGTCACGTTGTCTCCGCCAGAGCGGCTAGAGCGACTTGTATTGCCGTGCATTCCACGCGTACCGTGAACGCCACCTCTCTCATCATCGCCGAAACTGTCTTTGGCTGCTCCTTTCGAATAACTCGAGTACTCATCGTCATTTCGGTCATCCGATCGATCATGGTACTCGCCGGAAGTACCATGATGACGACACGAAGTCGTCGACGAAGTACCTTTTCCACTCGTAGTTAAGTAGCTTTGTTCTGGATTATTCTTCATACTCCTCTCGCTTTCATGGCCAGCGAATTCAGTACCGCTTGACTCACCCAAGTACTCTTTGCCTCCTCCCGATCGAGGAGATGACAAGTCGGGGTCATTCTGCCGATCAACGTTCCGTCCACCTCGCGTCGCCTCACGCGAACAGCTCTTCGTCCCAACATCGGGCTCCCCACGGGCATCTGACGAGCGATACACCGCGCTACTATCCGGTCCAGATCTTGAGTACTCGTCGTTGCCCTTGGACTTGTTGAAGGTTTTGCTGATCATTCCTTTCAGCGCTTCCATAGTGCAAAGTACAGGTCTCTGTCGATTTGATTGTGAAGCAGGGGAAGCAAAGACTATTTTGTCGATGTCAGTTGTCACGTTCTGACGAAGAGCAGGCCAAATGATGGATAAGCGTTTTGGTTGTTTAGAACTCTCGAGAACTTCCCGTTATTTCGAGCGACCCAGCACATTTCGAACGGCAGTTTGTTTTCCGTACCGTTGGTGGACTGCAGGAAAGAATCGAGCCTTTACAGAAAAGTCCCAACTTGCGCAACTCGCAAAAGAAACGGCTACATGTTTTACTACTACATGCAGTTTCGAATGGCTCGCAAATTCGGGTCATGATTGCTATGTGAATCGCAAGTACAATCTTTCTGTCTAATCTACTTCGTATGGCTCCAATCTGATTGTCGCTTTTCACATGCTGAGCATCTCTAAGTGGTTCGAACATCATTCACGCTGTGGTTTTGGAAACTGCAATACATTTCTCAACAGTCACATTAGTGATCAAGCCGGTATCAAAGTTGCAATTTAGACTACTACGATTGTCGAACCAGCCTTAAGACGACGTGTAATTGCATGGGTGCAGTGTCAACGGCGATGGCTGGAGCTGCATTCATATTCACTTAGATTTTGACGAGTATAGATCACCGTACGATCATATTTATTCTTCTTCTTTTCTTCTTTATCATCTTAGCAAAAGCGAGAGTGTTCCGCCTTCGTTCACTTCCCAATCTTACCAGACGCGGCGGAATATTGCTTGACGACGTAGAACTGCGCAGCCTTTTTGTTAACATCATCTCATTTTCTGCCATGACTGCACGCCAGGATGTGTGGGACGAAAATGAGCATTACACGAGTGTTAATCTCCAAATTGTGAACCACCTTCCGTACGCTTTACAGCAACCCAAATTTGGTTCCTATTCAGATGATGTCGTGAAGGTATGGTACGCACAGTATAGAATAGCGCTCACAATACGACATTCTTTTCATATAGATACCCTGCTCCAAACGGCGCATGCGTTGGTTTGACCCCGATGTAATAGGTTTCTTCTTTTCATTACTGGCTTACCCTTGCCACTCTCGAAATGTCACGTGCAATACTTAACCTGCTCACGCAGTCATATTCGAAGCTCAACACCATGCCTATGTTAGTCGCGGCCCATTTCTTACTGCAAATATTCTATCTTACGAGCAAGATGGCTTACTAGTGTGCTGGTGGTAGAGGTATGCACCAAATAACCACGAAAGGAAAATAAGGCACCACAAGAAGCAAAAGCAAAAACGCAAGTCAAGGAGGAATATAAGAAGATTTTTGCAAAATAGTTGTTAGCCTGTGTGTGTCTGAACGGATGGCCCTCCGATCACACACACATGCTTACGATGGATGACTATCCGATCAGATACGCACACGCTTACGACTACATTATTGCATTGATTTTGTCGTATAATGCATGCAAGACGTCGTCACAATGTTATATGGGAGGTATCGTTCGCGACGGTTTGACGGTGTCGGATCATCTTTTCGTATCCGTTGATCACTTACTTTTACACCTGAAGTTGCTGACAAGCCCAGTACCTATGCTACATGATTACATATGCTCTGAGACGCGTCAGTATTGTGCGGGAACGCAGGTAGAAAGAGAACTACGCGAAGAACGTAGTATAATGAGGCGTCAGTATGTATCGTGCTACTCGTTCGACGTCGACAGAGAGAACCGATGTACTTACCGTTGTGCGTTGTGTATCCACCGGAAATGCTATTTTGCATCCGGCTCCACGGCTTCCAGACAGCGATATCCAGGTGGACATCACCACTGTTACTGCCACCATCAAAATCGCCAGCACAATAACCATTAGCAGCTACGTTTGTGACGTCTGTAACACTCCAGCAGCCTCGTGCGCTCTCTAGCGTCCGCCTTACTTTTAATGTCTTCTCAACCAATGTCACCATTCCAAAGCAAAAAAGTTGGACTCCTTCTAGATGCGCCGCTTGTAGCTATTGCGGTCTATCTTCTTGGAGAACAGTTGGCCGCACGGGTCGCAGACGTGCGTGGCAGATACGGCTAGCATACTTTTTCGTAATCGTTTTGGCCCCGTTACATCTACCCACAATCGAACACCACTTCTCACGATGGGCTTTCTACACGTTCCTGTTGCGCTGTCGCCGAATTTACAAAAGCAAAGGATTATATTGCGATTTGCAACGGCAGATTCATGGGAACCGATACTTCGTTATCGCACAGTAAATATGTAGCTCAGCCATCGGCGACCAAAGTGAAACAGAAGGAGTGTCTAGATAGCATTCTCAACAGGTTGTAGTGTGCGGAAGCTTAAAATTAGTCAGCGTCGATTCGGTCGCTTCGGCTGTCCGTGGATGATCAAAAATGTATACATGAAACTGGCATTTGTGAGTGTAACGTGTTGATGGGTGCACTGTCAATGCACGGTCAACAAAGCCAACTGTGATTTGCTACGCACAAGTGACAAGACAGCGATGATACGACAGGGTGTAAACGGTTCACGTGCAGTCTGATGATTCTAGAACTACCTTGAGTGTATGTTCTAGAATCCATCAAGATCAGGGAAAGCTACAAGGTAGAAGAAGATAACACGACGAGTAAGTTCATAGGAAAACTAATTCAATACACTTTCCAATTTTCCTTCGACATAACAGGTTATGAGCCCAAGAGCTTAAGGACCTCTGCCAGAAGCCAGTACGATGAAGAAACCCGATGACCTGCTTGGAACAGACAACTACTTCCATTGGGAATTCAATATGAAGATGACACTTGCGAGGAAGGGCCTGCTAGAGCACATCTTGGAAGTGAAGTCGGAGCAGGAGATGACGGAGGATTGGAAGGTCAAGGACATGAAGGCGTTTGCTATTATTGCTCAAGGGATCGAAGTAAAGCATCAGACGAAGATCCGACATGCTCGCACTGCGAAGGAAGCATGGGAAACACTACGCGACTACTACAACAAGACAAACCTTCAGAATCGAGTGGCACTGACACGTCGATTGCACGAATTTCGTATGGATGAGGGAGGCGACATGGTGAGCCACCTCGACCGTTTCGATGAACTTGTTTTGAGTATGGAGGCGGTGGGCGATACCATGGACGACGCACGCCAGATGACAGTTCTGCTGAGTAGCTTACCGGCAGAGTACGAGATGATTGTGTCCATCATTGAGAATTCCATGGGTGTGACGATGGTGGACGTGAAAGAAAAGCTGTTGAAGGAACACAAGAAGAAGCAGCAGCAAGAGGTCTCCGAAGGAGCTTTCCGCGTTGGTCGTGGAGGCCATAAACAGGATCGTGGTCGTGGAATACGCAAACAACGTGGTGCAGAAGAGAGCTGGAAGAAGAAACAGCCGTTTCGTGGGAAGTGTCACCGCTGTAACAAGATCGGACACAAGCAGTTTGAGTGCCGATCTGCCACCAAGAATGATGGAAATGAAATGGCATTCACGGCCACAAACGGATTAAAAAAAGGATGGTTGTTAAACAGCGGCGCCTCGTCACATATGACCTCAGCCGAAGAAGATTTCTTTGAGTACGAGAAATTGAGAGAAGCCATTCAAGTTCGCGTTGCCGATGGTGCGGTCATGAATGCAATTGGACGAGGAAGCATTCGATTTCGCTGTACGAATGGTACAGCAGTGACTGTGAATGAAGTATTGCACATTCCAACGCTGGACAGACGACTACTAGCGGTGCCCAAGATCGTCCAGCGTGGGTACAACGTTCGATTCGGTGAAAAATACTGCGGTATCTACAAGGATAATGTGTTGATGATTTCTGCGAAGCGCATGAGAAACGTGTACACTCTTGATGTGGAGTATGAGCACGCGATGTTGGTAGAACATGAAGACGCTGGTAACAAGTGGGAGCTGTGGCATGCACGAATGGGTCACATTAGCCACAACAAGTTTAAAAAGACAAAGGAGGCTACGGAAGGACTACCGAATGTAGTACCTGACACGAACAAGAATTTATGTGGAGGGTGTCTACAAGGGAAACTGTGTGTCGCGAGTTTTCCACAAGAGTCGAAGACAAAGACAACGCAGCCACTGCAGCTTATTCACTCTGACGTCATGGGTCCTATGAAGAACCCAACTCCTGGTGGGTCACGATACGTATTGTCTCTCGTGGACGATTTTTCAAGATTAGTGACTGTATATTTTCTGAAGTCCAAGAGTGAAGTACTGTCGAAGTTCATTGAATTTCGGACCGAGATGGAGCAGCAGTGTGGATTTCGTATTAAGGCCATACGTACTGACAATGGCGGTGAATACAAAAACAAGAGGTTTGCTTCGTACTGCAAGAAACACGGCATCATCCATCAGAAGACAGTACCCTACAGTCCTCAACAAAACGGTGTTGCTGAACGGATGAACCGTACGATTGTTGAGACGGCCAGAAGCATGATGCATTACAAGCGGGTGGCAAAGAAGTGGTGGGCCGAAGCTGTGAATACGGCGGTGGATTTACTTAACAGAACCACGAACTGCAATCACGAGGAGAAGACTCCTTTTGAACTGTGCTTTAAGACGAAGCCCGAAATTTCTCACCTACGTGTATTTGGTTCACTTGGATACGCACATATCGATGACTCAAAGCGCACGAAATTCGACGCGAAAGGGTTTCGCTGCATGCTGTTAGGATATGCAAGACACACCAAGGGTTACAGGGTGCTTGATCTGGAGACTGGTACGATCAAGATCAGTCGTTCGATCGCGTTAGATGAACGTGAAGTTAGTAACATTTACGAAGACAATCCGGTTGTACCACACCCGAAGATGATAATAATACGACAAGATGACGATGATGGAGATCAACCAAGTAACTTGCAACAAGATGGTGATGAAGATGTTGAAATGGAAGAGCACGAAATTGTCGAAGATGTGGAGATGGAAGTACCGAGTTCTGACAATGACATCAGTAACACACCTTCGAGTGAGACAAGCAATCATTATCTTGCAAGAAATATGAACAACGAACAACATCAACACACTTCCCAAGTAATTCAACAAGGACCTCGTCACCAAGAACTCGAATTACACAATCCGCACGACTCTGGAGCGATGGTGTTCCGTCCACAACTTAAGCGTCGTTCCGGTCGCGAGCATCAGTATCGTGTTCTTACTGACGATGCCAGTGGGAGAAGTGAATCCGGACCACGAGGAGGTGTTGATGAAATGCTACCAATTGAGCAACCTGTTCAGCTCTTGTTGGAAGACAATGCATTACTGGAGATGGGATTTGTCGCGTGCGGTGCTGATCGATGCATATACAAGATAAAGGTTGGTGAAGGCTGGGCGTACGTGTGCTTATACGTTGATGATATGATTGTGGCTGCAAAAGAAGCAACCACGGTACGCAAGGTGAAAGAACAAATCTCTCAGCGGTTTCAAACCAAAGACCTTGGTCCAGTGAAGCACTTGCTTGGAATGGAAGTTATGTACGACCGAAAGAAGCGTGAGATGTTTATTTCGCAACAAAGATACATCGAGGAGACTGCAGACATGTTTGGACAGACTCAAGCCCGACCAACTGGTAACCCATGTGATCAGAGCATGAAACTGTCCAGCGCAAACAGTCCAAAGTCCGATGTCGAAAGACAAGCCATGAGTCGTACACCGTACCGCCAATTGCTGGGACGACTGCTGTTTATAGTGACCACGACCAGACCAGACGCAGCATTTCCTGTGAGCCAACTTGGACGATTTGCAGAAAACCCTGGCTCACAACACTGGAAGGCACTGATCAAAGTGCTAAGATACCTCCGCTCGACGAGTGGTTTTGGATTACACTACAGTGTTGACAAACGACAGCAACAACTAACAGCGTATAGTGACGCCGATTGGGGAAACAGCTTGGACGACCGTCGATCGGTATCTGGTGTTTTGCTGGTGCTTAATGGAGGCCCTGTTATATTTAAGTCTAAGTACCAACGCACCGTTGCATTGAGTACTTCTGAGGCTGAATACATGGCGCTAAGCATGTGCACTCAAGACATACTATGGGCAAGGATGTTAATGGCTGACCTCGGATTCGAGCAGAAGAATCCTACTGTCATCTACGAGGATAATCAAGGAGCCATTGCTCTCGCAACAAACCCAGGATACCATGCGCGGACTAAACACGTAGACATACGTCACCACTTTGTCCGAGAGAAAGTTCTGGCCGGTGATATAAAGGTGATCTACAAGGAGACGGAACATCAACTTGCCGACATACTAACGAAGGCACTCGGCACCAAGCGATTCCAGTACCTCCGTGCCGGAATGGACATCAAGGTACGTGATGGACCCGAGCATCAACAGTGAGTGGGAGTGTTGATGGGTGCACTGTCAATGCACGGTCAACAAAGCCAACTGTGATTTGCTACGCACAAGTGACAAGACAGCGATGATACGACAGGGTGTAAACGGTTCACGTGCAGTCTGATGATTCTAGAACTACCTTGAGTGTATGTTCTAGAATCCATCAAGATCAGGGAAAGCTACAAGGTAGAAGAAGATAACACGACGAGTAAGTTCATAGGAAAACTAATTCAATACACTTTCCAATTTTCCTTCGACATAACATAACGCATGCTCGCTGATGACTGTTTCATCGCCACGCATCATCGCCACCGCAGAGCAAATGTAATTGACATGATGTTGACGTTCGATTACGTTGACTGCGGCTTGTGTTTCCATTGTGTATATTGGAATGGAATATGTACCAAAAAAGATTCCAAAACGCGATCACCGAGAGCTATTCAATATCGGTGTTCAACCCGCTTAGCCGTATAGCGATGCGAAGCGCGGGCAGCTGCACGAACACTCAGCTTGTCCTATCTACCGACTCCACCGCGCACTATCCTATGTATCATAAGACCTACAAGTTTTGCAAACATGCAAAACCCGCTGATACTTCGTGTTAGCACTTTCACTTGCTCACGCATCTGCACGGGTGCGGAGACTGGGCCCCTTGTTTCATACGAGCTGCTTTGAGTATCCTCATTCGCACGAACAAACCGGAAGTCGCGGTAAGTAGTGTGCGATATCTCGATCGAGTTACAACACAAAGCTTTGTTTCTGCAGTTATTGCGTTGGCTCCCATGATGCTATCGTGGGCGTGCAATAATAGACTACGTAAATCAGCAACAAGATCTACCACTCTCCCAGTTCACCGACACGCTGTTAACGAAACACGAACGTTGACTGACGAAACAGATGCGAAACGGCTTAAACGAATGATGCTTCAGGATGTCCACCTACAGCGGTCACATTCTCGCCACGGGAGACTTGACTTCCACGAAATTGGGCGACTTTGCTCTGCCCTTGTCGAAAAGGGCCTCGACGTCCTCGAGCAAGAGACCCTTGGTCTCTGGACAGAAGAAATACACAAACACGCCACAGACACAGCATAGACCTGCAAATAGGTAAAAGACGCCGTCGATGTTCAGGTGCGGGAAGAGCTTGACCACTTCTGCCATGACAGCACCCATGGCCCAATTCGCAGCCGTCGACAGCGTCACGCCGGTGGCACGCACGCTCAGCGGAAAGATTTCCGCAGGATAGATCCAGCATATAGGACCCCATGAGATGGCAAAGTTGAACACGAAGAAGGCCGAGCCGATGCAAATTAACCATCCGCTGACGGTCGGACATCCGGCGTTTTCGACATTGCCATTACAGACAGAGGTGAAGAGGATGGCAGCGAACAAGTGACCAGCTGCCATACCGATAGCGCCAATTAGTAGCAGCCTCCGGCGTCCTGTGGTATCCACCCAACGCATGGCTGGGATGGTGCTGACGAGATTGACACCAGATAGGAAAAAGGCCGAATAAATGCCGGCTTTGGTGATGTCCTGGAAGATGAGACCACCGTAGCTCATGATCGGATTGATACCCGTGGCCTGCTGCAGAATTTGCAGTAGCATGGCAATAGCCACGCGCTTCCGGATAGACGGTTCAAGCAGCTCCCAATATCCTTTATCTGCTACTTGTTCTTCTGCAACCTGGTCACCTATGGCCTGTAGTTCGTGATGGACGTTACCCGTCTTTCGAAGACGCATAAGAACTTCTCCTGCTTCCTCCTTGCCCTTGTGCAGGTACGTCCAACGAGGACTTTCTGGCACAAAGAAGATGCCTAGCATGACGACAAGAGGAGCGGCCATAGCCACTCCGTTGGTCGTCCGCCAGCCGCGATCGCGATGCTCGACAATGAGGTTGACAATGTTGGCCAAAAAGATACCCGTTACGACAGTCATCTGCATGAAGCCCGATAGTAGACCACGCAACTCTTTGGGAGCCATCTCCGCACCAAAGAGCGGCAGTGAGAACGACGAGTTGCCCACACCGATTCCTTGGATCGCACGAGCAATGTACATGAGTCCATGCTCATGTGCCTTGTTCAAACAGACCCACAAAGTGCCGATACAGAAGATCAAACCGGCCGTGAAGATAGTCCAGCGACGCCCCAGCTTGTCCGCTACGAAGCCACCCACAAAGGCACCCACGAGACAGCCAAGGTTGTACGTCATGTTGTACCATACTGTAAAGCCCGTCCACTCGGTCGGCAACTTGGATGACGCAGACGTGCACTGTTCGTACGTGAAGTTGTGCCAGCCGACGCAGTAGTCGTTGATGAACGAGTCCATGATGAGCACACCCGACGTCACGCCCTGGTCGTAGCCAAAAAAGAGACCACCGAGAGCGGCAAAGATGCACACGATGATGGCATAGGCGCGCGAGCCTTCCGTTGGGACATGATCAACAACTAGAACGCTCATGATCACTAATAATACAAAAGCGACTTGTTTAGAGGATATGCCTTGACTTGCAAATGACGAAGGAAGTTGACAAATGGCCAGAACCCGCATGGTCTCAGATGTGGCATAACGAGTTGTTGTGTTTTGTATTTCATATGACATAAGGCTAGTGGGATTGGTTTGACTGCCCGCGCGAAGCTACAGTAGATCTGTCTTCACTTTGACGACGCGTTGGACTTCCGGATGGTCTTTCATCAGGAGACCATAGCGATGTGTCATTGATCATTCACCCAGTATTGGAGTCGCTTATCTAGTTTAGCCAATATCGTACCGGTGCGTTTGAGCTAGCGTTGTCGCGACTTGTAGTTGGCAAATTGAAGTTATACCCCAGCTTATAGACGTTCTTGTGAGTACACGCATGAAGTGTGACAAAATAATAAAAAATGAAGACTGAAGTTTTCAGACGTATCTCGTTCAATTGAAGCCAAATATCAGGCCGGATGAAGCTTAAGAAAAGACAGGACGTGTTTGATTCAACAAATTCAGACCGGCGCATTTGAGTTGACGACGTCATCGAAACTACTGCGAGTGTTGCCGGAAAGAGTTTTCGAAGAGAAACACTCCTTCTGAATGACACCCCTTTTGTGTAAGGATGTCATCGTGAGAACACGCAGCAGTGAACCAAAAGCTTGCGCTGGGTTACATAAATTATGAAAAGCAAAGTAGCGCTGATGCGACACCAGGGATCGGTATGTTGTCGTTATCAGATCGCTCAATCGTAAATTCAACTTGTGTCACTAGACGTGCTATGCAAAAGAAATAAGCATTCGCAGCTATCGCAAGTTTGCTTATCACTTGTGTCTTTATCTGCTGCAACCACTTTGCATTTGTACGATCATTTAGAGCTCAGACGAAACCGATGATGTTTGTCGCACTGCTTCCTTATTGCGCAATTTGCTTACCTTTGACGCGGTTTGGCTTGCAGGGGCAAATGCGTACATTGTGATGGGATTTAAATGCAATGCCGCATGTATTATAAAAGCTCTGTTCCTGGCTTCTTGATTTTAAATGTTCGAAGATGCTGCATAGGAGCAATCTGTATCCCAAGCAACATATTGTTGAAAATAATCATGCAAGATAAATGCGTTTGAACGTTATGAATGTAACGACCAAAGCTTCGTCGAATTCATCAATTCGGCATGCAGAAAGTGTACATGACAAACTGATCTGCGGCAATCGATATTACTTGTCAGAAAGTGTATACTTGTCAGCAACACTTCAAGGGTCGGAACCGCGCTTAAAGGTCGGTTTTTGTTGGCGTTGTGTACCGCACATATGTATGTAGTTACGTTGTTTGGTTACCACTTCATTACCACTCGATGATGGTAACGTTACATATAATTGTATGAGCAAGACGTCAGGGATCAGGCTTAGATTGCCATGTAGGACATGACCACTACGGTTCTCATTACATCACTTCGGCATTCACCTTCTACAACAATACTACAACCTAACACAACATGCATTGTATCGGCAATACAACTTAAGTCTGTAAGTGGCAGATGGCATATGTCCTCCCTGCCCATCTCGTATGACGGTCCCACATTGCAAACGTATCGCCTTGACCTAGCTGACAAGTCATCACATCGTCGTCTCACATGCCAACGTGTCACACAACCAGTCAATCAGGTGATACCGTCCCATACAATTGCAGTAGAAACTAAAAAAACATGTAAAACCTGTCAAACATGATTTTTACAAACAGTCACCTCATCCCCATCTGCAGCGTCAATCACATTGAGATGCGATTGTTTTTTGGCGCTTGCCGCTGAAGACCTGGTGTAGTGCACACCGGGAAAGCAAATATTCTGGTAACTCAAGTCTTACCGCGCTACGTGGGCCTGTATTGCAGCTACATCTTGCCCTCCCATCTGCCGCAAGGTCCCGTCCTCGTGCGTTGGGATCGCTTTGGTGTCAACACGAAATAATCATCTGATTTCTTTTTTGTTTCGCCGACAAAATTTCGATTTGATCAGGGCTCAATTTGTAAAGCCTTTCTTCAGTTCCTTCCATTCACGCTAGGTACCGGGGATCCGGGTGCCGGTCGTTATTCGATACCGTCTCCTGCTGCGTCATGGGATCCTTGTCCTATATTTTAAACTTCATTTCTGTAGTTCTGTAGACTGCCTCCCTCCTCTGCACTCTACAACCGGGGGTGGCCTTGCCGATATCGAAAGAGATCCATCCGGTAAATTTGGGACGGAGTATAGATGGCAATTATATTGCATGGGACCGGTGTCACTACTGTTTTTCGTGGAAGTTGAGGTTTTAGTTGGTGCCACGAAGCAATTTCACGATTGCCATTGTCACGGAAATAGAAAAATCAGAATTGCACGTCTCCTGTGAGGCCACGTTACTTCGACATCTTTCATCCAGCTTCAACTGGCCCGACATGACATTCGCTTGTATATATCCCTTGGAGCAGTGTCGTTAATCGTGGCTGGTTAGAGGCAGCGCGTTGCCAAGTGTCCCTCCTAATGCTCTCTTAATGCATCCAAACATGCTCTAGATAGGACACAAGCTAGCATGATATACCACATAAGTAGTGGCAGCAAGATATGGTACCATACAGAAGGACAGATAAAACGATGCTAATGTTTTTGCAAGGAACAAGTTATGCAGGTGCTCGCAAAAACGATGTTGGAAAAGACACTGACGCTGAGCGTCCGTACTTCCGGCAGTGTTGACAGGATAACGAAGGCCTTTTACCGCACGCTCTCGACCCATTTTACCACATCCGAACAAAACCGACAAACGGCTGTGGTTTTGTCGGAATAGCTGATCAATAACTGACTGGTTTCTTGAGCTGTTTCTATTCTGTCTGATAAAACTGCTAAGTCGACTCTTCACTTGGTGTTGCGTCGACGTGATGCTGATACTAAGCCTGCAGTTGCTTTCGTGGTCGTGGAAAAGATTGCGAAAAGTATGCTAGCCGTACCTGCTACGCCCGTCAGTCGCCCCGTGTAACCAACTGTTCTTCAAGAAGATAGACCGCAATAGTAACAAGCGGTGTATCGAGATGGATTCCAAGTTCTAGCTTATAATGGCACCATTAGCTGGAAGACATGAAAAGTGGAGCGGACGCTAGAAGAGCGCACGAGGCTGCTGGGGTGATACACCTGTCACAAAAGTAGATGCTTCTTGATGTGGTGAAGGCGGTGGTGCTTGTTAACCATTTCATCTCGAGGCTGTGTAGCTCGATGCAGAATGATCTTCTTTAGCGGATAATTTTATACACGCGAGAGTAGGAACCTCCGTCCTCTCGGTTCACACGTAATGTATAGCACAATGGATACTTGACGTTTCATTAGGCGATATTTGTAAAGTAGTCGATCCCTCTGCGTGACCGCAAAGTCTAATTATTGCTCTTTCGAAACCCTGCAGTTCAAGGCAATGGATTTTGTTGTTCACAATCCTCATTGGTGGACAGACTAGTTGGCAACAGGCACGAAAACAGGTTCGACACCACCGTCCCATCGTAATGATCAATCCTCATCAAATTTGCGACGTCGTTGTATTCGTTTTGCGAGAACATCGTCATTTTATTCTACATGGTCCGAAACACGCGTTCTCCCGTTAGATGTGCGCACGTGTAGTATACACGGTGATGGTTTTTAGATATCGATTTTCATCATAATCGTGTGGTACCTTTTCTTTTTAAACCGATTCATATTTCTTCCACTAATATCTTCAGAACTTATTCTGTAAGCATATTATTTCCTGAGTGCTCGGGCTTAACCGATTTGTAGCCCACCCATAAACTAATCGCGTTTTGCAGAGATGTCTAATATCGAAAGGGTTATTTAAACGTGTTCCTGGCAACTAGTAAGTCCGCATAACTACGTCATCTACGTACAACAGCGATATCACCCTATCGGTGCGTGCATTGCTCACTGATTCACGATATCGATGTCACTGAGAACGATGGAAAGGTTATCGCTAACAAATCGACCAACGGCATTTCACCGAAAGCATTGACAAGCATGATACTGTGATCTGTGTATTGTTGTTGTGTCCTCTTGTACACGACCTATGTTTTAATTTACATGTTATAATGACTACAGTGGCTTACATTCTAGTCCATTGACGATTGGCCTGTCGGCAACCCCCGTTCATCTAGTGTGAGATTGAACGATTCATCACTATCTGTACATCACCTTGCGCTACATTGCTACCATACCAGTATCAGCGGCAGGTGTCGATGTGCGCATATACTTCGGACGGCGAACGACGTCCTCAGATATCTTCCCTCTCTTCGTGAATCTGTCAATGGCATTTAAAATAAGGTGTAGCGTTTGCTGGTTTATTGTCATTTTTGTCCTCATTGTATACATCCAGAGTTTTCGTCCTTCCTGTACTGCCATATCCTTCATCAGGTCACGTTCCTTCGGTTTATGTCAAGCAGTTATCATCGTTACATACCGCCTGTCACGAATCAGTGTCGCAACAACTTGACACGCTTAATTCCCCAAATCTCATTCGAGGCCTGAAAGTGCTTTGCAGGTCTCATCATCCTTCACCAACTCCTAGCATTCAATTGCATTTTCATGTAAACCACCAAGCTCACGTGCGTCTAAATATCACCAACTTGAACAATCAATTGAATACCTTATAAAACGACTGGTTTCGCGATAATTGCGATGAGCTTTCGGCCCAGCACCAACTTGCTTCTAGCGTTGTCACGAAGTAAGTTTACACAAAAGACCGAACTGTAAAACATGGCGGTCTGTAGTCTCGCATCGGCCTCCAGCACCTTACGGCGTACTACCTCGTGCTAACTTCTGTTTGGTGGGGGAGGGTGTAACGGGGTTACACGTTGACTGGTAGTCGACGATAGGTGTGGTGCGCACAAGAGAGGGGGGTACCCTATAAAGTAATTTTAGAACACAGTGCGTGTATCAATTGTTGAAGACTGATGTCTGTCATCAATTGATTACGAGATCTTTAGAGAGGTTTTACTT